TTAATATTTAATATTTTAAATATTATTACTTGTTTTCAAAAATTAAACCACCAAACACAATTTCAGTTTTTTTTTTAAACTGAAAATAATTTCAGAATAAAACTACCAAACGTATTTTCAGAAATGATTTCAAAATAAAAATAAAAACGTTTTTATTTTCATTTTTGTACAGAAAATAAAAATGTTTAAAAAATCAATTCGAAACGCACCCGTCATGTTGAACTTGAAGAGGTTCAAAATTCGATGTCTGTCACGTGATCACATTGATCGTGTCTTCATCAGCCTTTTACACGTTTTTTTTTTTTAATAATTTTTACGCGCTAAAATTAAGTGGCTAAGGCAGATCTTTTCAGTTTTTTTTTTTTTTTTTTTTTTTTTTTTTTATTTTTGAACCGGCGGGGGGTGTTTTAATGTGCTAACGTGCGGTGGATATCTGTTTTCTTTTTTTAATTTGCTAAATAATATATGTGGCGGAGATTTTGCAAAAGGTTGTTTCGCTATCTATTTGAAAATTTTACATGATTTTGAAATTGAACTTACGAGAGTTATTTTATTTATTGAATTTGCTAAAAAATTCAATTAGAATTTCTTATGGTTTGAGTGTGACTCGATTTATATGGTCAATTTCTTTTGATTTCAAAAAGTGTTTAGGTTTCTTTGAGATTTAAGTCTTGTTAGATTCGTGTGATTTTTTTTTAATTCTATTTTTTTTTTTGAACTTCGCCTTTTCATTTGTAATTCTTTTTTCTATCTTATTAATAATATTAGAGTGATGAACTTAATAGAGTACAGGTTTTTAGAGGGGTGTCTATGTCTCGATCAGCGAACCTAAATACTAGTTATCTATTCTCTTCACTTTATTAAACTAAAATAAAAAAATTGCGGCGGACATAAGTTTTTATAGAAAATAATATTAAATTGATCTGAATGTGATACACGTGCCTGTATATATTGCTGAATGAAACCATGCATGCACGCAAAGTTCTCTATAAAAAGGCCTTATTGCCCCAGAGCATCAAAATATAGCCAAAGGAAAATAGTTGTTGAAATCCTTTCCATGCAAACAGAATTTTGCATGCCCATTTCCTGCTTTCTTCACTCTAAATTTGTTCTCTCGATCCACACTATTTCTCATCCATACTAGTTCTTTAATTTGTTGTTTACGGATCTAGTAAACCACTATTGTTCTCTTAAACCTATAGATTCTTATATTAACGTACTTTGACACTTGAAAGTTGAGATACGATGGAAGGGTCCTACAATAAAACAGTAACAATTAGTAGTATTAATTACGACCAATCCCATTTTCACTTCTCACAATATTTATGCCTTTTGGTCATCGTTCTCTTCCAGTTTAAGTTGATCACGAATATCTTATTTTTTAGAAACAAAAGAGTAGTTCCTCCTCTTCCTCCGGGACCACCCAGAATATGGCCGATTCTCGGTAGTTTCGCGGACATGTTGAGAAATGGAACGGCGCACCAGTGGATTCACCGTCTCATGAAAGAGCTCAAAACTGATATTGCTTGTTTCCGCCTAGGAAATTCCCACGTTATTGCTGTGAGTTCACCGGAAATTGCCAGGGAATTCTTAAAGAAACATGACGCGATTTTTGCTTCACGACCGGAGACAAAGGCGACTTGCATTGTCAGTAAAGCATACCTCACAACGGCCTTGGGTCAAGGGGGAGAGCAGTGGAAGAAAATGAGAAGAATATTGGTTTCTCAAGTCCTAAGCCAATCCAAAATGCGTAGGCTACTTGACATGAGAAACCAAGAGGCCGACAATCTCGTTCGGTTCCTTTATAATCAATGCTCTAAGAGTTTCGAAGGTAAAAAAGTACGATTTTAATAGTAACATCACATTATAACACTAATAAAATAATGATATGACAGCACTACTACTTATACTCTTATAAATGCCTAAATTATTATTTTTGTGTAAACTTGTCCTACAAAAATAATAAGTTTTTGTATTTGTGGCTAGGTGACGATGTTGTTGTTAGGACTGCTGCGCAGCATTATCCAGCCAATGCCATGAGAAGAATGATGTTCGGCAGAAGGTACTTTGGCAAAGGAAGAGAGGACGGAGGGCCCGGCTTTGAAGAAGAAGAGTATGTTTCCTCATTATTTACGATGCTTCTACATATTTATGCCTTCTCTGTGTCAGACTACTTTCCATGGTTGCAAAGTCTAGATTTAGACGGCCATCAGAAAACGGTATGCGACGCCGTGAAAGTCGTCGATAAGTATCACGACCCAATAATAACCGATAGAATTCAAGAATGGAGAGGAGGGAAGAAGACACAGCCTGAAGACCTCCTTGATGTTCTCATTTCGCTCAAAGATTCCAATGGCAACCCTCTTTTGTCTAAAGATGAGATTCGAGCACAAGTCATGGTGAGTTGTTATTTATTTCGTAATTTATCTGTTTTCAATTAGAGTGTAGGTTTAATAAGAATCAGGACTCAATTTAAAAATAAACAAATATATATCGATCAACCTTCGATGAGAATTTTTTCTTTTCAATATGATAAAGTTCAACGACGCGATAGAAATTGGCAAGAAACTCTATCATCTCATCTATTAAACAAGTTTTTTTATTGATTTTTTTTTTTCAAGAAATAACAATTTACTAATTACTCGAGTACTGCTCATTTTTAAGGCTTATTTTTGCTATAACCCTACTATAAGTTTTTAAACTTGTGGTATCTGAAATTGTGTATGCTTGAATATTTACCAATATAGATCAATCTAATGAAATTTGACGGTTCAAATATATTCAAACTTGAAGGCTATATCTCTCGTATAAATTATGTTACGTATAAACAATGTTAAGCAAAGATAATATATACACACGAGTCTAGAGCCTTTTTGAGTCTTGGAGTTGCCATCTAATACTATAACTATGTAATTCCGGGAATTCAATACCCTCGATTGGCATGCACTAATTGATTAACAACTTATAAACATGATAACGCTGTTATTCAAAGCAGGAAATATTTCTTGCAACGGTAGACAATCCATACAACGCAGCAGAGTGGGCGCTATCAGAAATGATCAACCAACCAAATCTAATCGAGAAAGCGGTGGAAGAACTGGACAGAGTTGTAGGAAAGGACAGGCTGCTTCAAGAATCCGACATCCCTCACCTCCCATACGTGGTGGCATGCGCCCGGGAGGCTCTCCGCCTCCACCCGGTGGCGCCATTCAACCTCCCCCACGTGTCCTCTGCCGACTGCACCGTTGCCGGCTACTTCATCCCCAAGGGCAGCACTGTCTTGCTTAGCCGCCTTGGGCTCGGCCGAAACCCTGCCGTGTGGGACGACCCTCTGCGGTTCCACCCCGAGCGCCACCTGCCGGAGGGCCATGTGGACCTTGCGGAGACGGAGCTGAGGTTCATTAGCTTCACTAGGGGAAGGAGAGGGTGTGTAGGAGCCGGGCTTGGTTCAAACCTTACTGTGATGCTGTTGGGAAGGCTTCTACAAGGGTTTACATGGAGTATACCAGTGGGTGTCGAGAAGATTGATTTGTGTGCCGATGCTGGCTCACTTTTTAAGGCCACACCATTGTTTGCTCATGCCAAACCTCGACTGAACCCTTCAGTCTATAAGTCCTTACTTTAGCTCTAGCATTATTAATTATCTTTGTGACTTACCACTATAATATTGCCTCCTTTTTCTAGGTTTAATCTTTTACTTAAATTAGTTTTTTTTTTTTTTTTTTTCTTTTTCTTTGTAGCTCTTAGAGATAGATAAATAAATAAAACATGCAATGAGCATACGAGTTCCAGTGGTTGGAATCATTGGTATCTTTATAGTCAATATGTCTCTTTTGTAGCCGAAAGCATATTTTTTTTGAATTATTGTTCTTGTAACATTATAACAAAAAATATAGTTTTAAAATTGAAATATATTATTCTATATTAAAAAGTAATCAAATAGCAAGATTATATACTACTCTATGTGGAACATATACTTAATTAACAAGATCACATAGAACATGTCTCTTGTTACACCTACACAAAATAACTAAATTATTAAATAATTGTTAAATAAAATATACTAGGATGGTTGTTAAAACTTAATATAGGACATATTCATGGAAAACTAAAAAAAAAAAAAAAACAATACAAGCACAAAATATAAGTTTTAAAGTTTTTATATGATTTGCTACCAAACACAACTTTTGGTAACAAAGAGTCTTTTTGCCACCAAAATATGAATTTAGTAGCAAAATCTTGTTTTCTACTACCAAAATTTGGTAGCAAAAAATTATGTTTTTTGTTACCAAACATTATTTGGGTAGCCTAAACTAGTTTGGTATCAAAAGTTGATATTTCACTACTAAAATTTAGTGACAGATAACAATGTTTTACTTCCAACCGTAGGTAGCAAATGTTATTCTTTTTACTACAAAAAAAAGGATAGCAAATACCACAAGCGGGAAAATATTTAGGTTTCCGCCAATGTTTTTGTTACCAAAACATATTTGGTAGTAAAAGTGATTTTTTGCTACTAAATTTTGGTAGCAGATAGTTATATTTTGCTTCCAACAGTTGGTAGTAAATGTTACATCTTTTTCTACAAAAAAAAAAAATTCAGTAGCAAATACCTCATGCGGGGAAATTTTTGCTTCCCGCCAATATTTTGTTACCAAAACATGTTTAGTAGTAAAAAGTGATATTTCGCTACCAAAGTTTGGTGGCAGAATCTTATGCTTTTGTTACTAAATATTATTTTGGTAGCAAAAAATTGTCAGCAGGAACCAAATTTAATTTTCTCCCATATTATTTATTACCAAATTATATTTGGTAGCGGATTGTATAATTTTTACTACCAATTTTAGTAACTAAAGCCTTATCATTTTAGCCATTAAAATTTGATAGTAAAAAGTGTATTTTCTGCCATCAAAAGTTTAAAGAACGCACAATAATTAAGAATCATGAAGGAGCAAAAATCTATGGGTCCCAAAATTGTTTGAGCCAGCCCAGAATGTTCCTCTCATTTAGCAAGACTCAAGTTGACCTACTTTTCAACGAAAAGCAAAACCCTTAGGGTGAGTTTACCTACTTTAAGGTAAAAATCTAACTCCACATGCCATTAATTTTTAGGGTGAGATTTTAACTTCCAGAATTCTCTTCTCTTTTTCTATTTGGAAAATCAATTTTTTAAGGTTCTCATTATACTTTTCTCCCATCCTCTCTTCCCTGGTTTTCTCCTCCTCTTCTACTCATCATATATAGGTCAAGGCGAGACATAATAATAAAGCAATTGCATTAATTTATTGGAGGATCGCCAACATTGGTGTTCTAATCTCCACTTATGCTGAGATTATAAATGTTGAAATTTGAATGTTAAAACTCCAGTAGGATAAGAAAAAATAAACTAGGAGTAATTCCCTATTTTTATATGTTATATATGTATTAAAATTTATTTATTATGAATATTTTTATAATTTAATGTGATTTTAATTAAATCTAATAATTAGAAACAGATTGTACCGATGGAGAGGCTCTACCAGAAAAACTCTAAAAACATAGTAGTTTTGTAAAAGAAAAATCAAACAAGAGCACGGATAAGGAACGGCCACATGATAAGCATGTAAAAATAAATAAATAAGATAGTCTTTGTATATGTGGCATGTTTAATACGTCAAAATTCACGACCACATATGTAACTCAATAATACATTATGTACTATGATAAACGAATAGGCAGAGAGCAGCCACATATTATAATTAGTTGAATTTGTCTTTATTACTTTTTTGATGCCGAAGTCTTTTGAAGCAATTGAAAACTAGTGCAAAGGTCCCAGGGGGAACTATATATCAGAGGTGGCCTGTACTGATTTACAAACTGAACAAACTATCTTTCTAAATTAACAAATTCTTATAAAAAAAATAATAATAAATAAATAGAAAGGAGTTTCTATGATAATCCGACATGAATCCAGAAAATAAAAGGCTAATATTAAATACCATAATATCCAATTAATTAAGAATAATTAAAATTGTTCAATTTCTAATCGCACGTTATACTTGTGTATGTTTGTGTAAATATGGAAATTACCGTGTGTGTACCGGTGGGTAATAAGTTATATCATGTCTGTAGACATGGTATATTATTAATAATATATTCTAAAACGAGTTAGAGAGGATAAATATATATATATATATATAAATATATTTATATATATGAACTCTGATCAAAATATTAGTCTTATTTGGTAGTTGCAACTTTTATTGCAAAGTCATGTGTTTATAGATTAGTAATTACACGTCACTATATTACTTTTTTTTCTAGCAAAAAAAATGTGAATCTTGCGGTCACGAATTAGGAGGGAATGAATATGGGCCGGCAATATAGTTCATGATACGACAATATGATTTGAAAAATGACACGAATTTCATAAGTTAAGGTTGAGAAAAAGATGTTCGAGTTAGAATTGAGTCGATCTGAAATTGACACGAAAAATACGGATCAATTTCAGGTTAGACCCGCCTAATCCAAACACAACACAAAACTCGTAAAAAACTAAAAAATATATATTTTTCATTACACATTTTAAATTTATTATGAACTTGTGATATCATGATATATAGTTATATTCAAAATCTTATACTATTATTTGTTTAATTTTGATAGATGTTATTGTATTTTAGTGTGTTATGAAATTTTTTTGTTTATTGTAAAATGAGAGAAAAATGAAAAATGACTTTTAGTTATTTTTTATTTTTTATTTTCATTTTCTCATCTCTCGAGCGCAGATAAAGAAATAGAGACATTAATTAATTAATTTTTTTACACTGAAAATAATCTCTTGATAAAACTATCAAATATATTTTTAAAAATGATTTCTATATGAGATTGAAAATATTTTCATTTTTATTTTTATAAAAAAAATAAAATTATTTTAGAACGAGTTCTACACGCGCTCGATATTTTCTCGTATTTCTCAACGGGAGATTCTATGGTAGAGGGTACTTTTTCCCTGCCAGTAGAGTGCATTATCAGAGCCCTTTTTTCTTTAGTCGCGTGGTAAAAAATGATCAAAGAACGCCAAATTAAAATAAGTTCATCCACAACTGATCAAACTCTCTCTTGTTTTATCAAATTTTTACTAAATAAATCTCAACCCCTAATTTAATAAGACATTCAATCTTAGCCATTAATTTGTTTTGTTATTCAAACGCTAACACGAGGATCCTAACATTTTGAGAACCTCCCTCGCCTCGCCACCGGTAGCTCGCCTCCTCCTCAAGTGGTTGTCGTCTGACTTCACATATGCGGGCTTCCCCCCGACGGGCCTCGTTTTCGCATCACTACCGCCCCCTCCTCGAGCCGCCGTCATCAGACCTCACCCCTCTGGACTGCAGTCGACGTTTCTTAATCCGTCCAATGTCTTGTGACTGTCAGTTATGTACCAACCGATAACTAAAGTTAAAAAATGAGTGAATTATCGAAAAACAAAAAAGTTGAAAAAACAGTGGGGACCAGCCTATCTTCCTATTCCAATTCTTATACGTATACTTGTGCAGACATGTTGAAGAGGTTCAAAATTTTCTGTCTGTCACGTGGATCATATCGATCGTGTTTTTATCATCGTTCTACACGTTTTTTTTTTTTTTTGATAATTTTTACACTTTAAAAACTTTTTTTGCTAACGTGTGGTGGAGATCTGTTTTCTTTTTTAATTTGCTAAATAATATGTGTGGCAGAGAAAAGTCGTTACGCTAGTTATTTGGGGATTTTATTGAGACATTTATAAGTTTATGATTTTAATTTTTAAAATTTAAATTTTTTATAAGAGAAAAATATTGTAAAGAATTAAGAATCATGATTTAAAATCAGGATAAACCCTTAAAACAAACATCTGATACATGATTTTGAAACAGAATTTATGAGGGTTATTTTAGTTATTAAGATCTCATTTATTTTATCGATTCGAGATTTCAATTTTAATATTATTACATTTAAAAACTCATAAAAATTCACATTTAACTTTTTTTGCTATAATTAAAAGCTCTCAGATAAAGTTACATATTAGCTTAAATTAAAAACTCAAATCGACGAACTGAACGAGACCTTAATTTGCTAAAAAATTCAATTGGAATTTTTTATGGTTTGAGTGTGACTCAACTTAATTATGTGGTGAATCTCTTTTGATCTCAAAAAGCATTGAGGTTCCTTAGTGATTCAAGTCTCATTGGATTCGTGCAATTTCTTTTTTGAATTCTATTTCTTTCCGAGCTTTGCATATTTTTCAAGAGGGTAATCATGTGGCTGATAAACTGACCTCTTTTAAAGTTTATTCTCAAGCAACTTCCTAGTGGTTTACTATTCCCAATTTCTGCAATGGAAATGTGAGCAGGGATATAAAAAGTCTTTCAAATTATAAATTTCATTTGTGGCTCAGAGTAAATATGTGCTCCTTTTTCTTTTGAATCTTTTTCTTGTTGGGTTTTGATTAAAAAGTTTTTAACGAGGCATATTTTTAACTTTTTTTTTTCTTGCAAAGTCGTACGTTGAAAAAAAACAAAAGAAAAGGACAAAAATAAAAATGAAAAAGAAAAAACAGAGAAGTAATGTAGCTTGTAAAAGTCGGAGTTAATCATGAATATCTATATATCAATAGTTAAAAATGGAATAAACGTTCATTGAAATTCTTAAACGGAACATGAGTAGCACGCGAACACTTGTGTATACATGTTGACATTTTTCTCAAGTGAACCACGTGGTAAATTCTTATTGGGTATATTAGTAAGGATTGTCTCATACATGCTACGTACACTTTACCTGTCGTGTCGACTAATATTGCAATGAAGATCCTGCGGAGCTCTCTCTCTCTATATAAAGGCTTAAATTGTAACGCATTTGTTATATCGATCGAGAGAAATAGAAGTTACAACCAAAGGAAAAATAATGAGTGAAATCCTTTCCAACACAAAATGATCATCTAATTTAATCTGCCTTTTAGTTAGTTTCGTTTCTTGCATGCATATTTCTTCACTCTAAAATTCCTCCTCTCGAATCCCACACACACTACTTCTCATACTAGACCTTTTTCTGTATTTATTTAGTGAAACTAGTCTAGTCTGTTCTCTTAGAGAATATATATATATATATATATATATATATACATATATATATATATATTAATTAGAAACCTATATTACCGTACGTACGTACTTAGACATTTTGAAAAAAAAAAAGAAAAAGTGAGATCGATGGAAGGGCCCTTCAACAAAACAGTAACAAGGAATATAACTATTTACGACCAACTATCATATGTTTCCTTATCACACTCATCCATTTTGCAAGCCAAATTACCCCTTTTGGTCATCTTTTTCTTCCAGTTTAAGTTGATCATAAAATATATTTTTCAAAAGAACAAGAGATCATCAGCGGTACGAGCTCCTCTTCCCCCGGGGCCATCTCCAATGTGGCCAATTCTCGGGTGTGTCCCGCACATGTTGAGAAATCGACCGGCATACCGGTGGATTCATCGTCTCATGAAACAGCTCAACACTGATATTGCTTGTTTCCGTCTTGTTGGAAATTCCCACGTGATTGCGGTGACTTCACCGGAAATTGCCAGGGAATTTTTAAAGAAACATGACGCGGTGTTTGCGTTGAGACCCGAGACAATGGCGACTTGCATTGTCAGTAAAGGATACCTCACAACGGCCTTGTGTCCAGGGGGAGAGCAGTGGAAGAAAATGAGAAGAATCTTGGCTTCTCACGTCCTGAGCCCGTCCACAATGCGCTGGCTACTTGACATGAGAAACCAAGAAGCTGATAATCTTGTTCGCTACCTTTATAATCAATGCTCTAAGAATTTGAAAGGTGAAAAGTTATTATATTAGCATAATTACCATATTGCTATGCATGCATACGATCATTCTTATTTGTGTCCATCCAAACATGACGTTTTTTTTTTTTTTTCTTTTCTTACGATTCTATCCATGTGACGCCAACGTGAGCATTTGTCAAGGGCAAGGAAGATCAATTCTTACATTATTTGTTCGGTCGTATTGATTTCGGAGTCATCTAATATGTCTAAACACAATTAACTGGGTCGACATAGTTCACAAATCTACTTACATAAATTTACTTATTGGGATGTTAATTATGTATTGAATACATCATTTTTTAAAGATTAATTTTGATATTTATATTTGCAGCCTCCTAGAAAAATAATAATAAATTTTTATATAATTTGTGGCTAGGTGACGTTGTCAATGTTAGGACTGCTGCGCAGCATTATCCAGCCAATGCCATGAGAAGAATGATGTTCGGCAGAAGGTACTTTGGCAAAGGAAGAGCTGATGGAGGACCCGGCCTTGAAGAAGAAGAGCATGTTTCCTCATTCTTTACGATGCTTCTACATATTTATGCCTTCTCTGTATCAGACTACTTTCCATGGTTGAAAAGTCTAGATTTAGACGGCCATCGGAAGAAGGTGTGCGACGCCGTGAAAGTCGTCGATAAGTATCACGACCCAATAATAGCCGATAGAATTCAAGAATGGAGAGAAGGGAAGAAGACACAGCCTGAAGACCTCCTTGATGTTCTCATTTCGCTCAAAGATTCCAATGGCAACCCTCTTTTGTCTAAAGATGAGATTCGAGCAAAAATCACGGTGAGGTGTTGTCAACCTTAGATGTATGAGAATTTTTAATCATTCCAATATCTCAGCCGTCGTTAACAAGTTTTTTATTCTGATTACCTTTTATTATTTATTCTTTTCAAACAATAAGAACTAATGAGCAGGACGCGAGCCCTAACATTATTTATCATGATTTATTGACATGATGATGCTTTTGTGGAAAGCAGGAAATATTTATTGAAACAGTAGACAATCCATACAACGCTGCAGAGTGGGCGCTATCAGAAATGATCAACCAACCAAATCTAATCGAGAAAGCAGTGGAAGAACTGGACAGAGTTGTAGGAAAGGACAGGCTGCTTCAAGAATCCGACATCCCTCACCTCCCCTACGCGGTGGCCTGCGCCCGGGAGGCCCTCCGCCTCCACCCGATGGCGCCTTTCAACGTCCCCCATGTGTCCTCTGCCGACTGCACCGTTGCCGGCTACTTCATCCCCAAGGGCAGTAGTGTCTTGCTTAGCCGCCTAGGGCTCGGCCGAAACCCCAACGTGTGGGACGACCCTCTGCGGTTCGACCCCGAGCGCCACCTGCCGGAGGGCCACGTGGATCTTGTGGAGACGGAGCTGAGGTTCATTAGCTTCACTAGGGGAAGGAGAGGGTGTGTGGGAGCCGGGCTTGGTTCAAACCTTACTGTGATGCTGTTGGGAAGGCTTCTACAAGGGTTTACATGGAGTATACCAGTGGGTGTCGAGAAGATTGATTTGTGTGCCGATGCTGACTCACTTCTTAAGGCCACACCATTGTTTGCTCATGCCAAACCTCGACTGAATCCTTCAGTCTATATGTCCTTACTCTAGCTCTAGCATTATTAATGATCTTTGTGACTTACCACTATAATATTGCCTCCTTTTTCTAGGTTTAATCTTCTGCTCATGAATAAGGAAGGCTTTATTTTCTTTTCTTAGTAGCCCTTAAGAAATAAATAAATGAATGAATAAAAGATGCGTGAGCATGAGTTCCGTCTCTTTAATATCCCTTTTTCTTTACATATATGCAAGAAAGTTATATATATGCATAACCCGATCTGATCATTTTTAGGGGGAAAAAGAAAAAACAATTTTACATAAACTAAATCTCATTACTCTTGTATGTCTTTATCAAAAGAAGCTACCCGCGTGTTGTCGCCATATATGCCATTGATTTTACTCCATTCTATTCTTTTTCTTTTGAAAACAATTATTTGGATGTTGTCACCATCACTGGTTCTAGTCTTACTTCTGCTGGGATTAGTACTGTTGACGTTTTTCATTTTACAACATGTTTTTGAAGAAAAATCAAACAAGAGGACTAATATTCATAGTCACTCGTGATCGATACATTACAAATGATGTCGGTTTAGATGAATTGTCAAATGATAAACAAGTAAATAAATAAATAAGATAGAGTCTTTCTGTTATGCGGGTTTAATATGTTACGGTTTACAACATTTATATTCGTCTTTATGGGGTTAAAACTCCGCTAGTAATACAAAGTGAGTCTCATTAAATAAGTAGGTGAGACACAATCTAGTAAGACCCATCATTTTATAAGTCCCATCATTTTTTTATGGCGAAGTCTTTGACCAAAGCAAGACTTGAAGCAATCAACCAGTGAAAGGTCCAAGGGTGAACTATCAGAGGTGGCGTGTACTCATTTGCAAACTGGACATATTTAAAGAATTTTATTGTAAAGGGAATATAGAGAAGGAATGAGAAAAAGTAATGAATAGAAAAATGAATTTATTCACTCTTTTTTATTGTCCAGCAAGATGTATGGACATGTATATTTATAAAATAAAAGGCAACGGTAATATGCTAAATAACTCCTAGAAAATGATTTTTATTTAATAGGTAATCCTTTTGAAATGGCATAACAAATTGCCATGTTTGTTTCCAACGGCTTTGCATATATCATGGGATTTTTTGTCCGTTTGGAGTAGTAATCTGGTTGCTCCTTTTTCATATTGTCATTACCTCCATTAGTGCTAGAATCTTTGTTATTTTTGGCAAGTGAGTCATCATTGACTTTATCAATATTATCTGTCCAAATTACCAAATTCTTTAAAAAAAAAAAAGAAAAAAAAAGAAACATTGATAGAAGAGGATTAGCATAAATCAAGGAAACTTGAATTAAAGATATCTACCATAAAGTATAAAAAAATATCATCATATTAATTAATACCATAGCTATCAATTTTCAATTAAATCTTGTTAAATTTACATATATACTCTTTTATATTTCTGAAATGATTATTATATAATTTAATAACTGAAATTTGTGCAATAATATCATTTAAATATTAATTTTTTATACTCCACTTCAACTATATGGAACAATCCTAATAATTTTGGACAGATTTACAAGTGACAATTTAAATAAGAGAAAGAAGAGACGCGGACTATACCTATATATAATTCTAATACAACACAACTATATACATACGCAAAAAGCATTTACTAATTTGAACCTTTTATCTCTTGTTATATGTATTTTTGTTATTGATAAAGATGAATATTTTATAAAGGGATTATGTCAGTTTATCTGCTCTCATCATTTACACAAACAGCTATATATATGTGTGTGTGTGTGTGTGTTATATAGAATTAATGGTGTAATTGTTATAACTTCTATATTCTAAGTCATGTACTTATAAGTTTAAGTCGCTTAAGTTTCTTGTTTACTAATTGCATATATATATATATATATATATATATATGAGAACACGCGCGCATATACATCTAAAGGAAAGCTAATATTTTCTCGTATTATATGTCTGTCATGTGAATCACATCGATTGATAATTCGATATAGCACGTCTACATTAGCTTTGTCCATTTGATTATTTAGTTTTCTTGCTAACGTGTGGCGGAGATCTTTTGTCTTTTATTTTTTTGCTAATTAATATATATGGCGGAGATTTATTTTTTGTCTTGTTTTGATCGATAATTCGATATATAGAACGTCTACATCAGCCTCATCCATTGTGGCAAAGTTTTTTGGCCGTGTTAGGTACTAGCTCGGAAAGCGATAACTAAGTTGTGTAGAATTAATGAGATTAATGGAAACAAGTTGAAAGCATTTGGAGTCTATATAAGGCCGTGGCCTATGAGCCTCAAGTGTATTATACAATATAAGACTAAATTAAGAGTAGATTAGTAAGGGATTGTGGGATGCATGCATATGATTAATCATGATTTGAGGTTTAACAAAGGGATTCATGCACTCCACATCTACACAGTAAACATAATATAATTGGGTAATGACAAAATTTTTATTGGTATATAAAAAAATAAAAATAAAAAGGATTCCATAGTTCCAAATATAAATGTAATTTTTTTTTTAATTTTGTGAATAGAAATGGTATTGTTAGACTGTGAGTAAATATATCCTAAATGCTAGCCGATTCCTTTCACGAATGTATTTCATCATCTCATTATCGCTTGCAAATCAAAAAGTCCCTTTTAATATCCGAGTCTATTTCGGAACACACATATCTCATTTACGTAAGCATTATGATATTATTATATGCAGCCGTGAATTAATAAAACTGTTGTGTAAAACTGTTGTGTACTTGTTAATTAATTATATATTCCTAATCCTAATCCTAATCCTTGGGTCATATACACCATATGGGATGTGCGGCTAGTCAATGTTTTCTTTAATTCCGCACTCAATTACCTGATATTTATCTATTCGTTTGAAACTGGACTACAAAAAAAGTAACTCGAATGTATCTTTATTGACAATTTTTCTAGGCTTCAAATTGAAGCTTCTTTTTCGTATCCTCATCAAAGCTACAATTTTGAATTGTAATAGAGAAAACTTCAACTTGAAAAACTTCTCAGCCACACTCATGTCCATAGAAAACAACCAAAAATCGCTATTACAACTTTAAGTCTGTCATAATTTCACAAAATCATAGCAAAACATAGTGAAATTACCTCAAATATTGGAGTTTTTTATTTATTCCCCAAAAATAGAATCGTTAAAGATCAACAATTTGAAATTATTCCTCCAGTATCTAATTAGTTACTTTCCATTACGCAAACCAATAGTTCAAACCGAGGCTATTAGTGTGATGTCCTAACAAACCAAAAATTCAAACCGATGTCCTAACAAGTTAGTGTGTCCGTGTTGAACAAAAATATTTACTTTAAAATAATATTTCACACACAACATAATTTCACCTATGCTAAAATTTGATTAGCATAGTTGTGACGTCTCCCGCCCTAGCGGCGGGTCGCCAACCTTACACTACTACTAATAGGCTGAGCTATAGTCTAATCCATTATTCATTTCTAGACTATCGTCTCTTTATATTACGTTCAAACACGGGTAATTTTTTTTCTTTACTTTAACCCTCGGGTTCTTAACATGTTATGTCGTTATACTAATAACATATTTTGCTAAAGGATTCGGATATAGAACTAGTCCCCGAAAACTTGTCTTAACTTATTACAGTCCGTTGTTCTTTACTAAGACAATGGTTGTAATATCTTTTTCTTAAAACTGAATAAACATACTGGTGTTCTATATTGCATTACTCTACAGTGGAATTTTCCTAAGTGGGCGTAGTAGACACCACTCTCGTGAGCCCATGACATTTCCGCCACTTTGCATCGGCCAGTCCATCAAGCAACACTACTGTATAACTGGCTGTTTACCTGGGTTACCTACACACGAGTAAACTGAGGAGCTAACGCTCAGCAAGTATAAACATGCACACATCATAAACTAGTAAAACTACATTAAGAGTTATGATGCAAATATGCTCATGTGAAACATGCTTTAAAAACTGCTTTTTGTCTTTCTATTCTTACTACTGTGGGCTTAGGCCCCTGCTTACTGTCTGGTCTAGCCAGAATCTCTACTCTTTGAGATTTTCCTCCCTTGGGAGGCCGATGACCCGTCAGTCTTTTACTTTACTGAACTTTGAGTTTGCACTTCAAAGTGTTAAAAACTTTTCTGAATGATATGCAACGTTTTCTCTACGTGCAAATGCTAACATGAAAATGCATAATACTTCATGTATACTTTAACTGAGCATTAGGGTAACCATATGTCGCCCTTCTGCAATCTAGGGCACTAAGCCCTCCAAATACTTAATATCACATCCACTTAGGAATACAAGTAAATTCATAGTTCTAAGTCTAACTACAGTTTACTCGAGTCCAGACAAACATATATGTCTATACTTACAGATAATCTGCTAATATCCCTGCTTGCTGGAAGTTCTTTCTTGTTGCTTCTGCTCTCGTGCCAAAACCTGTTTCATGGAAATAGGTATCAATTTCCTATTCCAAATCAAAATTCCTCATACTTAGCTTCCTAATTCTAATTTCAAACTCATTTTTGAATTTGACCCCTTTAGGCCGAATTTCTAGCTCAAGAGGCAAATTTCACAAATTCGTGTATCTCGGTTTCTGCACCTCAATCTATTCACTTCCGAGCTTTAAAACTATTATTCATTCTCAAAAATCAGATTTCTAACTCATTGCTTATTAACTAGATTTTATAAAATTTCGGCAGAGTTTTGCCTTGTTTTTCTCATTTTCTGAGTTTTCAATAACTCGTTCTGCTTCCGATTTCAGTACTTGGAGTCAAGATTCATATTTCTGAACACCAATCCCAACATAAAATTGAACAAAAATACATGTTCACCATTTCTAGGGTTTTCGGATTTTTTAGTAATCTAAAAAATTTTTGTTCAATCGTTTCAATACTTACACGTTAGACTCCTATCACAGTCCCCTACAAAACCTCAGTTTCGTTTTTCAGTTTTACAGATTTTTTTCGAGATGAGTTACTATTCATCAAAAATGAAAAACATGAAATTTCTCATGAAAAATCCGAAATCTTACCTCTAGAAGTTGAGATTTGCCGCTAGAACGCCTCGGGTTATGTTTCTACCGGACTAAACAGAAAGAATTTCAGTAAAAACGGTTGATTCCTTTGATTTCCCTTGGTTTCCCTCCTTCTCTCTCTTGGTCGGCCACACTTAGGAAAAGAAGAACAAATGTGGCTTCTAATTCCTTCTCAGTCATTTTTAAGACAAAAATGAATATTTTATTATTATTTTTATTACTTTCTAAATTAAAAAAATTAATTTAATTCCCTTAATTTACTTTTACTAATTTAATTAAGTTTAACACTTAACTTGAGTGGTTCTATGTTCCCCACATTTTTTTTGTCGAGACCTAACTTTCTGTTTTTCAAAACGAGTCTCTTCCGGTACTGATAATCTCACACCCAGTATAGGTTCTATACTGCTTTTCTGGACTGTCGAGTACCCTGGGTCGAACTTCTCATGTTCAACCTAATTCTTTTGGGTATCTCTTTAGTCAATATCTTTTTCTAAAATTCTCATTTTAATTGATTCAGAATTGCCCAAAACGCTTATCCTTGCGGTACTGGTTTTTTAGCAGTTTCCCGCTTTAACTGACTCGGGAAAGTCCTGTTTCAGGAACTATTGCTATTTTTCTTACTTCTAATATTTCTACTCTTTTTCTAACATGTCATTTGGTCACATACCAAATATTTCAGTTGTTCATAACTAAAATATACCCACTAAAATTTCTAACTTTTAACTAATATTTCACTATTCGTAACTGATATTTATTAATTTTCTCTGTAAAAATATTCGTATTATAACTTTACACTTTTCAGAAAATTTTACCCTATACATAAAGTTTATACATAACATTTCCTTGATCAAGTCAAAATTCTACTACATACTATTCCGGAAAGAATTTACGGTCAAATGCTAGACTGTCCGGATTAGACCTAAATTTTCCCAGTCGTTACAATAGGAGTTTATTATTTTTAAGTTCGATTCATTCAAGATTATAAGAATAATCTTTTTGATTACAATCTCTTAGTACAAGAGAGACCCTTTGATTCCAATTATGATAATGTGGAATTTATTTGTGTCATTTTAAGGGAAATTTTGGTTTGTTTGGATTTGCAGCTGCACTCGAGAAAGATTTTAACTGAATTGCCTACATACCTTGTTGAGGGATCAAGCCACTTGTAGTTTTTAAGGATTTTATATTTGAGAAATTCAAAAGCGTATGACCATGTATGGAATTTTAATAAGATTTATAGGTTTACGACCTATGTTGGAAATTAAGGAGTTGAAGTAAATGACCTCTTTTAAGAATTTGTGGATGAATAATTTGATTTAGGAATTTTAAAAATTCCTAAGGTGAATGACCTATTAGGAATTAGATTTGTGACGACGCCAAACTTTTCATCAAAGTTGCCTACATATCCTTTTAAAATGAATCAGGTCAAACCTAGTTTGAATTTTTAGAGTTGAAAGTTTTGGATAATTCCCGATATATGATCTTTGAGGAATTGAAGGACTTTTGAAATTTGATTTGTGATTTAAATTAGGATAATTACTCTGTGGAATTTGATTTGAATTTGAAAAGTGTGACTGCACTTAGATTTTTTGTTGTTATCAAGGTTACCTACATATTTAGAATGGAGTCAAGTCTTTGTAGTTCTTAATTTTAGAGATTTTGAGATTTTTTTTGTGAATTTTTGGTATTTTTGAGATAAATGATCTCTTTGATATTTTTGGAGTGAATGACTTCATTGTAGACTTTTGAGAAATTTTTTTTCATTTGTTTTGAACTTTGAACCACACCTAATTTAATAGGTTGTCTATATATCCTTTGCGGAATCAGGTCGACATAGTTTATTAATTTGTAAAAATTAGAGTTTGTTTTGAATTAAACTCATTTATCTGACTTTGAATGGTTTTAGAGATAATTTGATTCACAATTTTGTATTTTTGTGAAATGGAATTTAAAGTCCTTTATATTGCATTTGTTGCGATTTTTTTTTTTTTTTTTTTGGCAATTATCAACGTTTTCATCATTGATGAATGAACAGGTCTCTTCTTTAATTTGAGAAAATCAAATTAACCATTTTTTTTTTATTTCTCTGCATGCTTTGGGGCGAGGCTTTATGCCTTGTGTGATAATCGATTGGTCTTCAGTTTAAATCCTGTAATTTGAGTATGCCTTACATTAATAAACAAAAAATAATGAAGTCTTCCCCTTTATTTATTTGTGTTCCTGTCACTGGTAAAGAAGATCGAGTCTTTATTCTTCTTCTTTGTTGGGCTTGTAATTTTCTTGTCAAATACCCATTTTAGAAATAGCCTTAAGGAGATAAAATTCCACACTAGACTTGGGAAATTCTCTTTCTTTTTCTCCTTCTTTTTCTTTTTTTTTTAATTATTTTTTCTTTCTTTCTCTCGCACTCTTTCTTTCCTTCTCTTTCTTTTTTGGCAGAGGAAAATTGTCACACAAAAGTACATCCTTTCCACTATTTATAGACTTGGCAATTAGAGGTGTAAATCGGCCGGATAGGCTCGGGTTGGGCCTGTCATTTGGGCTGAGCAGTAAAAGTCTGGGTGAGGGAATATTGGGCCGCAAACCCCTACTGGCTGACAAACCCGTAACCCTTCAGGTTACCTCGGGTAGGCCGGATTTGCGAGTTGATCGGTTTGGGCCTGAACGATTGGGTGGGCCTGGGCTATGTGTCACTCCCATGGTCTCCCGTTGGGTCCTCATGTGGCTGAAAATTTCAGTTTTTCTACTCTTATTGGGGTAGAAAAATGTGATGATTTCATTTCATGGGAGATAAGCAAAATGCAGCTGAAAAAACTCTCCAATAAGAAACGAAAAAATATAAGACAGGGAAATGAGCAATGAATTTGATACATTTGACCAAACTTAGCCACCTTTCTCTCTTCAACAAATAAAACCTAGATTGAGGAAATACCCCTACCTGAACAGCTGACCCTGAACCGGCGGAACCTGGATTGAGGAACTGAAACTTGGTGGTGGCTACGGCGGAGGAAGTGAGATGAAGAAAAAGAGGAACGACAAAGCGGAGGAATTAAGAAGAATAACAAGCGGCGATGAAAGAAACACTCAGAGAGACTAAGGGGCAGCGGCACAAATCGAGAGAGAGAATGAGAAGAAACTGATGGCATGTTTACTTACCAGGATTGAAGAATGAGAGTGGGAAATGAGAGTCAATCACATGTTTACTTGCTCTTTTTTATCCTGGAATGCGAGTGAGATTGGTAGACTCCACTCAAATTGGGATTGAGAAATGGGATTGGCACTCCCATGCCCCCCCTTGGGATTGAGACTCTCATTCCTAATATTAATATTAATTTACTATCATACCCTTATTTTACTTATAAATACACAATTAAAAATAAAATTTAAAAAATAATAAATGCAACATATATTTATTATTTTATTTACCTAATATTAAATATTAGCATAATTATTGTTAACTTTAATATAATAAATATGTACTTTATTTTTTCATAAATTAATAATATATTTTAATTTTTAACACTATTTTTTATTTATTTTATTTTATTTAAATTTATTTAAAATTTATTTTTATATTTTAAATAGTTGTACAATTTATATTTATTATTTTAGTACCAAATTATTACACTAAATATTTTAATTATGATTAATTTTAATATAATAAGTACATAATATATTTTTTAAATTGAAAATATCAAATTGATTTAAAGGGTATATTAGTACTTTTACACTTTTTAATTCTGATTCTGGGTGTAAGTAAACGTATGAATGAGATTTGAAATGACTCTGATTCTGAATCCTATCACTAACTAAACAGCTTATTCTAACTCCGATTCCTCAATCCAAATCCTACCCACTCCGAATCCTACCCGCTTCGATTCATGCTCATTCTGATTACGCGTAGGTAAACATACCATGAGAAATATAAATGAGAATGGGGAATTTTAAGGTTGAGAATTGAGAGTAGTATCTGTCGGGTCGGGCTACCGTGGGTTGAAAAGAAACCGGCCCGTGCCCCTATTTGAAATTGAAAAAAATATATATATATTCAGGTAGGGTCGGGTAGGGTAGTCCGGATTTCTTACACCCCTATTAATAAATGGCAATAACCGCTTGCTTTCTTTTGTTTTGCCTTTGCATATCCACCCCTTTGATCCTGATTGGTCCTTTTTTTATCACACTAATCCGTGATTGGCTGAATTCCATCCCAAAGATTGTCCCTATCATGCCTGAATCTGATTGGCTCGTTTCTTTTACACGCGGATTGCTAACAGGAAGTAACTTCTAGGCAGTTATTTGCCTCTATCAGTACATGTCTTCCACAAGAACATTCACGTGCATAATGTGATATAATTTGTATATTTATTTATTATTTTTTTACCAGTCCGAATAAGCAAAATAAAGTGTTTAAACAGAGCTTCTGTTTAAACACCTTATTATTCTTCTAAAACATTACCATCGGTAATCTACCAGATGCTGCCTAAAGGTGATTTCTGGTCACTTTCGCCGGCAGCAACTACCACTGACTAATATGATCTACCAGCTTTCTTTTTTATCAACAAAGTTCGTTCAATCCTGATCATTGAAGAGTAATGTTAGACGGTGAAAATTCGTCAACAGAATAATAACGAATTTTTAAATGATTTGTGTGAGTTAAACGATCTAAAACACAATTAAGAGTAATTAATCAATAAGAACACACGAGAATAGTGGTTCACCCTCAACTTGAAAGCTACATCTACTGTGGAGAGGAGAGGAAATTTACTACTTTATAGGAGAATACACGCACTAATACTCAGAATGACACTTAGAAATTTTCTGACTCATAATTCTTTATTTATATCAAAATCACCGCCCATATCTTTTTTTTTATTTGAATTTGAGATATTTTTCTCAAAAGATAGATATTATAATCAATTAGTATGGTTTTCTTATTTAAATTTCATATATTTAATTTACAAATAGCAAATTTTCGAGCAAATCTCACAAATATCATCTTTTGTGTAGTCTCAATTTCATAAACTCTTTCAGAAGCTTCTTCGCCTATATTGCAAGTAGGGTCGGCTTCATGTTTTTCTTTGTATCGTTTCTAAGCAGTCGACCTCCTTACTATGCTTGACACTTCTTTCTAGCAGTCGGCCCCTAAGAGAATTACCTATTGATGTGGCACATGAGTTGTCTTTGATCATTTATTGTTTTCATTTAAGACGTGTGGGCCCATCTAAGATTTTATTTAGAATTTGGTGTTTTACTCTACAACAAGTAATATGATAGTATAAATAATCTACAATATTATTTTTCAAGTTCAACACAAAATGACTTGTCATCTTTGACTGGTGTTGATTGTTTGATAATTATATAGTAAATAATTGAAGGTTTTAATGATCTACCAAATTATTTTTCCAAAACCACTTAAAAACAGACAAAATATCAAATTACAACGAAAGAAAATATAATTATCATACTACCAAAACATATCAACATATAACCACGCAAGATGTAGTATATCTTAAGAATACATTTAGTATTTTAAATATAATCAATACGAGAGTGAATTTTTGATATTTGTTTAGAGAATCCCTATTCTTTGCCCAAACAAAAACAGAGAGAAATTCTTATTTAAATGCACCATCTGTCTCGCGAATTTGAACCATTCTTTTGCTCCCTTGCTTTTTTCCCGTGAAAACCTTAGCTATGTTTGGTTCCACTATTTGAACCAAACAATTTAATTGAATTGTGTTTAAAGGTTTAAATTAGTGTTTATTTTAGAAATAAAAAGGATCATTCAAACCATCAACTAAGATTCAAATGGTTGATTTAATAATTCATACCCCCTTAAAATTCACAGTCCGATTGTTGACAACAATTTAAAAACAATTGGGCCGTGTTTAGAATTGATCATGTTTTTATTTTTCACGTTTTTTGAGAAAAAAAATTAAAACGTTTCTAAATCGGCGTTTGGCGCGAAACAAAAAATGAAAATGAAAACGATTTTTTAGTTTAGTGTAAAATGAGAGAGAAATGAAAAACAACTTTTAGTCGTTTTTCATTTTTTATTTTCGTTTTCTCCTCTCTCGAGCAGAGAAAAAGAGAGACATTAATGAGTTTTTTTATACTAAAAACAATCTCTTGATAAAATTACCAAACGCATTTTCAAAAATGATTTCTGTCTGAGATTGAAAACGTTTTTATTTTTATTTTCATACAAAAAATAAAATCATTTTGAAACGAGTTTTAAACGCATCATTGGTTTTTGTTTTTTCTCTCTTTTTAACTTTAAACTTAAAAATGTCACAACTTCTTCGTTTCAACGCCCAATTGAGATGCTTTTTTTCCCCTTATATGCTTATAATAAAGATGGGAACAAATCTCAATCCATATTGCATATATTTTAACCTCATTTACAATGACGTTTTATAAAATTTATTATAAAACTCTAATGACAGTTTTCAATACTTTATTCAAACACAGTTTAAATTTTATTCACAATTCAAATTATAATTTACCTGCTAAATACGAATTCGAATCATAATTAAAATCACTACAATTAAAATCACCAACTCAAACCAAATCAATAATATGAATTGTTGAACCAAACAAGGCCTTTAATTTTCTATTCAATGAACCAAGCGGCGCTGAAGTAGATTGCCCTATTAAGGAAGTAACACAATGTTAGATAAATTTTTCGTTTGTACGCGTATAAACTACACGAGTTCTAGCCTTAGCACTGATAAGTATATTTCTTGGTTGATAACAGTGCATACTTCCGTTACCAAAAAACCAATAAATAAATAAATAAGAGTGGAAGAAAAAAAAAACTACATACTTCACAATTATCATTTGTGGGGGGAACAGACATACTCCACTCAAATGGGACTCTGGTCAAAATCATAAGCAAAAAGTGTGAAAGGAAAAAACAAAATCTTGTACAATCCTATTTGCTGCTTCGTGTATTTGCCCCTTTTCTGTACACTTGAAAAGTTAAAATCAGGCCCAAATCTTACACGGGATCGAGTTGACAAAAACGAATTGGCAACATACGCAATAAGCAGAAGGTGAAGCTTGGAAACTTTTCATGTATTTACATCAAGACGCGCATAGAAAGTTAAATGTTTGATCGAACTGGAGGATCCTTCAACCAACCTGTTTAGACTTGGAGACAGTTGCAGTATTTTATGAGTTGGATACTTCAAGGACTGTGCAAACTTCTGAGGTGGTCAGCCACATTCTTTATATGGTCAACCACATCGTGGGAACTGCTAAGCCGTTGGAGATCAGATCGCTGGAGGACAGTCCCTTTGATTTGCCTCGAGTCAAGATCAGCGTCCTTCTGTTTCTTTTTTGTTGTAAAGCAGTGGCGTACACGAACAAGGTGATTTCTTGACTCGGTTGTGTACCTCCCACGCACCTTGACCACCAAGATAACTTCCCTGTCTCTAGTGTCTTCGCACCAACAGTTCTGCGGGACACCGTCAACAAACTCTTCCAGTGTTTGGAAGTCCTCCTGATGAACACACACCTCTGCTATATGATCTGGTCTGATCATACCAGTAGCTGGAGTAACCTAAATCAAAAGAAGAAGATAAACTTTCTTTTATAAGAAGCTCCCTTTTATTGCTTTTGTACACAGGAGAAAGGAAACTAGAGGTCCTCAAGTAATCAAAACAAAAACAGAAATTAAAAGAGAAGGAAAAAAATATCATCAAGAAGCGCGCAAAAACTTCATAACAACAAACCCCCACCACATTCTTCCAATTCAAGACAATAAAAAAAAAAAAAAAAGAAACATCTTTAAGACCCGTTCATTTCACCAATTCAAGTTTTCAGTTCTAAGTTTTTATAGTTAATAGCTCTCAAAAAATGTCACATCTAACTTTTTCTAGTACAGTTAAAAGTTCTTAGAAAATGTCACATCTCAGCTCAAATTGAAAACTCGAATCCGCAAAGCGAACGAGGCCTAAATGCAAAGAAAAAACAATGTAGTGGAGCCAATTTCGGACACAGATCAGCCAATCGCTGAAATTTCAGAATGTAGAATCCTTTCGATTAAGTTTACAATAAACTTTTTTACTGAACCATAATAAAGAATCTCACTTTGAAATGAAAAAAAAAAGAAAAAGAAAGAGCAAACCTACAGAAAGATGAAGAATCTCTTTTCCAGTAAAACTAGTTACCTCTAGCCATCGCGGAAAGCCAAAAGAGCCTATAGGAGAAGGATCTGATGCAAGCCCATCATCCTTAACTGTAGACTGTCCTTCACAGACTATTTCATATAATACGTCTTTTTTACCACATTTATTAGTGATACGCAAGATGGACGTATCCTGGTTTTGAAGAATGATGTTGTTCGTACTGATGATAGTTTCTGGAATCTTGCACAGTTCATCAAGCATCCATTTTATTTTTCTATTTGATCCAAGAATCTCTCCAAGCTCCTGTCTCCTAACTGACTCGTCAACTCGTGCAATATCGACAGTAAATATGCAGCGGACAGGCTTGTGGTCGCTGTCCGTCACATCCATGCAAGCATCGTACCTAGAAAACAGGAGATGTTGGGTTTTTTAAATTTCAAGACCCTTTTACGTGTGAAGCTCTTGTACAAACACACACACAATCACACAGAAGATTTTCTGTGTGATTGTGTGTGTGTGATCAACGAACTATCAGAGCAAAAACAAAAAATAAGTACAGGCTATGCATACTGAATTGTAACCCCTGTAAATCAGAAAAGAACTACCCAAAAAATAAAAAAATAAATGTGTTTGGGTAAATATATAAGAAATCTAAAGTGGCCTTGATGAAATATGAGCCAAAATAAGAAATCTAAATTGGCCTTGATGAAATAAGAGCCCAAATAAGATAAAGGTTAATTACGGACTGATGTAAATGGAAAGAAATCTTTCATTATAAAGGAACTTACTGCAATATTGAGGAAACTACAGGACACTGCAAACTGCATTCTGATACTGGGGTTAAACGACTATCGCGATATAGTATTCTATCACACCAAGCTGGAATGCGCCTCTTTTCTCCAGAATCATATCCTACAAAAGATGAATTACAAGAGCTTAATAATTTTTAAAAGCTTTTCACCATGCTCAGTGAACAAGTGACCAAAACGACTGCGAGCCTGTAGAGACTTTTCTCCCCAAGATATCTAGTTGGAAGCATAGTTTAAGAGTTTCAAGCACCAAAGGTACCAAAGAGAATATAAAGAAAAATTCCACAAACACAAAAAATAGTAACAAAACAACCTCAAACAATCTAAAGAGCATCCAATTCGAATATTTTTATAAGATTCTTTCGAACCTTCCGTACATCCTAAAAGGTACCTGCTAAACCAACTTGGTGTCTTTCAAACTTGTATGTGGGAGGAAACTTAATGACAGCCTCCCGCATTCCTTGAAAGACGTTTCCAGCTTCCATTTCTGCTCGAAGCTGATCCCTTTCTCTGAGCCAATCAAAGCATCTTTGTGACACAAAATCCCTAGCTTCATCATAAGATATACCATCAAGTCGATAGTTAAAATCACCGACAAATATCACCATGTCCGCCTCAGATAATTCAGGCATGCCTTCAGCAGAGGAGGCACCCCCAGCCTGCCAAAACAATAATGTATCATGATCATCAAACCAAATGGAAGAAGATTGCCTCCCGAAAAAAACAACTCAGACGAGCAGGCATCACGTACATTTGTGCTGCGAAGCATCTGAGCAGCAGATGAAGCACCAGCTGCAACAGAAAGGACCAATGGCAATCCAAATCTATAAACAATCCAAAATAAATACATTGAGAAGGCAAGCGAACAATACAAGAACAGGTACGGCTGTGTACCAGCTGCAGCATTGAAAAGATTGGTTGGCCGCCCGAAGGTCATCGTCCGGTATACATGATCAAAGTCTGCATTCCGACGATTAACTGCTTCTAGATGTGCAGCAAAGTGGCAGTTAACAAAGCACATTATTCTGTCGTATACTCTAATCCTCAAACCAACAGCTCCCTGCACAGCCAACATTTAGCCACATCAATTTCCATTTAGAACAAAAGGGGCCTCATATGCATCTTTGATTCTACGTATCAGAATGTATTGAGAACATACATGCAAACCATAATGAAACCATCTAGAGGATAGCAGACACATCAACAACAAAAGAACTATTAGAAAGAAAGAAAGAAAAAATTACCCAACACAACCCCCTTGGGTTGGGGTACTTAGAAGAACTCACTAACCTATGTTCGGTGTTCAAACATTTCATTGAATATAATTTGACACCTTGACATCAGAAGGAAAACACAATGTGTAAGGCAAACAAACACTCATAATAAATTAATCTTCTTCCTATAGCGTTATCATCTTTCTCCTCCCTCAGTAAGCCTTTGTATAAATGATAGTTAGAAAAAAAAAATTAAAGAAACCGTGTTTGTATTTGTTAGTCATTATGATTGTACAATCCAAATTAGCTAAATAGGGAGCCCAACCTTATTACCGATAGCACGCCCAAAGCCACATGGAACTGCTGCAGCGTCAACATCTCCTACATAAGCTCTAAGATCAATTCGCACCCTACAAGATGAAATTCAAGCTCAACAATAAAGACAATAGAAATATATACATATATATATATATATTGTGTGTGTGTGTGGGGAGTGCGCGAACTGAACGCATAATCAATTTTTTTTAAAAAGGGGGGAAAAACAGAAAGAAACAAATCATGTAAGGGTCCTAACCTAATTTCCAAAATGTTCATGTCAAGGATGACAAATATAAATCGTTGCTTGATTTTAGAAATAACATCACTAACTTCACCCATTGTTTTCACAAATTGAAGTTACTGGGTGTTTACTAAGAGAAAAACAATCAGTTAAAGAAAAATATGATGATAAGGAACTTAGTTTATGAGACGTTGAGCGTTGATAAGAAGTCACGAAGAAATCCACCCACAAAAACAACTGACCATGCAGCAATAAGCAAGCCTGCTAACTGCCTCGAACCAACACGATAAAATGTTGATCCTTCATCCAATGTTTTGCCTATCATCTCCAGCCACCACTGCCCAACAGCACTCCCCTCAAGACCTACCTACAGTTAAAAGAAAACAAGAGAAGTGGATAACTGAGAAAAGCAAATTTTCAACAACTAAAGAGATAAAATAGAAATAAAGAAGCACTATCTGGTCACAATGTCATATTAGATTCCTTTTATTCACAAGTTATGAAGTGCACATAAAATGCAAACTAAGAAGAAACATAGGTTGCTAAAAATAAGAGGGAGACCAAAAATCAAGAATAATTATTTTAGACCAAATACTTTTTTATCATTGCTAATGTATGACAAGCTATGATTTAAAACTTTTGAGAATATATGAAGATCATAAAGTACATAAACATATATATTTCTACATTTTGAGGCTTACACCTTACCTCGTAAAACGAAACTCTACCCGATGGCACAATTTAAAACCTTGTTCACAACCAGAGCCGCCTCTTTCAGCAATCAAAAAAAAAAAAAAAAAAAGAGCCCTCTCATGTTTAATTCACATTCTCCTCTTATTTTTCATCGCCTAATAAAGTTCTTATTATGTGCCCAGATTTAGACAATTAAATTCATGACTACTCTGCATGTTAACTTGCATGGTACAACTTACAGTCTCTTTAGCTGCAGACACAGCAAGAAAACCAGCGCCCATTTCAACTTCTTGCAGCCCCACCACAACGATGCTAACATCAGAGGTGACAGAACCTAGCCAGGATATAAGCGAGTCATGAGACGCTCTTAAACATGACGCGCTCTCCCTTGTCCATCATTCCATGTACCGGTCAATATTTTCAAATTCTCTATCCTTGTATATAGAAACTCTTTGCTAGCCAACTCCGAACGCACTATACCATCAAGGGGTCCAGGCGAAGTGACATTCCATCCACGTATTCCACCATGGTTTGCCAAGGTAAATATATAACCTGCTCCAGCAGTCATTTTTATCACAGGACTGCTGTGAGCGACCCATCCCCCAAGCAGATTACCCTCAAGGTCAAGTACCTGGACGTTACCACTTAGATAACCCACCCATATTCGCATACCAAAAGTACAAAGGCATTGAACAGCAGAAGGATGATAATGGAAATCTTGTATACGATTGCCATTCCCGTCCCACTGCACAAGCAAGCCACTTGCACACCCAGTCCAAATCATACCATCAATAGTCATCACAAGTGCTTCAGTTCTTCGATTATCATCTCCAAAGGCACCCTTTGCTGCAACTCGACGAACAGCATCGGCTGCCCCCATTATAGCGTTGCGTGACCGCTGGAAGAACCCAAAAGAATTTTGCGCTTTCTCTTTCTTCGACGTGGCAGCAAATTCCACAGAGATGTCCTGTACGGTTGATATATCCCCTCGATTCTCAAGCTGACCATCTGTATTGAAAACTTTCAGTAACTCTCTTGTACACGAATCCCTGCAACATAACAACTAGTATAATAAATTAAATCTACCGCCTAGGGTATGCCTAACAATTACAAAAATGCATAGTTATACATACTATGCAAACAATAAGTGTGCACTAAACATATACGTGAACATTTAAGGCGTGAAAGTACATATTCGTCCAAAAATCATTAGGACCTTTCTTTCTCTCTTTTTTTTTTTTTTTTTTTTTTTTAAAAAAAAAAAAAAGAATCTTAGGGGGGAAATTATAGAACAATATTTAGAACCTTTTTTTCTCTTTTTTTTTTTTTTTTTTTTTTGTTAAAGAAAAAAAAAAGGAATCTTAGTGGTGAAATTATAGAACATGGATAGTCTGGAAAGTCACAGAAACTTTAAATGTCATCCTATAATGTTAAGACAGAAAAAGAAATAGAGCTTGCCTTTGTCTGAGATATTGTATGTCAATGACAAACCGACAACAATGCGCAAAAGATTGCAGTTGAAAATAATGATAATTATTTAAAAAATAATAATTATCACTTGTAAGTTCAAATCAGATTGACTTCATAATTGCATCAGAGAAGATTCGATTTTACTCCAAAGATGCTTATGGAATTAAAAAAAAAATATATATATATATATTGAAGAATGTAGGCATACCATAACGCAAACGATAAATAGCCAGCACTCCAAACTTTTGCTCTAGTATTATCTGATAGCAGGTACTTGACATCCGAATTTAACATGTTACTGAACCCGTTTACTGCAACTTGGCTCCTTGGGTCAACGAATGACCTCTCTACTAATATTGCAGCCATGGGCCTTTCTTCGGCAATTAAAGAAAGAGATCTTTCAACAGCTTCCCAAGGCCATATTTTAATCACACCAGCTTCTGAACCGGACCACAGGTCTCCTGAAAAAGAAAAGAAAGAAAAAAAAAGAGGGAACAAAACAAAAACAAAAAGTATCAAGAAACTGTTGATACACTTCAATGGAATTTGTTTTAAATCTACTCCCAGAAAATTGTTAAAACATGTTCTTTTACGTGAATTACAAGGAGGCAAAACAGCATTATTGACTTTTCTTTTATTTTCTTTTCTTGGGTCAAAAGAAATACTTAGGTTCAAATGTGCTAGTCTAGTACACATAAATTCTACCACTTACACGAACCCAAACCGGTTCACTTAGTTCAAAAGGGGAATACAGGTCATGCTCATACTTGATAAACACCAAAGAATTACAGAGGACTGAAATTGGTATTGGTTTTCATAAACACCAAAGAATAACAAAGTACTGAAATTGGTATTGGTTTTCTCGGCTGGCTGCAAGTATAACAAATGATCGGGACAGATGATCATTCTTATTTTCGTTGATTTTGGTGCATGCATTCGATGTCGTTGCGCTAAATTCTGTGTTTAGTAAAGGGAAAGAAAATAGGAAGCAAGGAAAGGTAAATATTGTAAATGAAAAGGAAATGAGAGAAAGGGGAAGACCCTTTCTATTATTGTGATGGGTACGGATTTCCTTCTCCAATCCTTTGAAAGCATGAAGGATCGAATTGGAGACCCAAGAACCATTGAGGATTTTGAATTCCTCTTACAAACAACTGTGTGAGTCTTCAAATCAATCCATTAATCCTCTTCCACATTTCCACCTACCAAACAATCCCTAAAAGTAAATTCTTTCTCGTACTTGTAAGGTAAGTTTGTCTTTAATGATAACTCGTCTCGTATAGTTATTCCAATTAAGAATCTTGGCAATCAAAACAACATGACTAAAAGGATAATCAGAACAAACAAAAGAGAGAAAATATCATGAAATTCTTTCTTCCATTTTTCAGGTAGATTCGATTAATTCCATAATTCAATTTAAGATTCTAAAACAAACAAGCAAACAAACAAACAAAACTGACCATAAGATGTGATAACGAGCGAAAGCACGGGGCCTCTATGAGCCTGCCACGATAAGTCTTCCCTAAAACCACCATTATCATCATCCTTCTTAATCTGATCCATTCTCCAACACCTGATCTTCCCATCCCTATGCCCACTCCACACCACTCTCGCCCCCTCATCCGCCGCCAGACATAGTGCCGGCGACGTCCTCACCGACTCCCTTAAAGGCACCGCGTCCTCGTGGTCGTAGCCGTCCCCGGCAGCGTAGAGATCGCTCAGCTCCCACCGGCGGAGACCGCACTCGGAGGCCGCCCAGAGCTGGGAGGTCGTGGCGACGATCGAGCGGAGGAAGCGGCCGATTTGAGCCTCCCGCAGAGGGTGAGGCCTCACCTCCAGACTGACCGGCCGGTGAGGGTGAACGGCAGCTCGGACGGGAAGGCGGAAGATGCCGGCGCCGCCGCCTCTGGCGATAAACTCCGGGAGAGGGTTCGGAGATGGAACGGCGTCGTTTTGAGATGGAGAATTGGAATTGGAGAGGGAGAGCTTGCGGTCAAGAAATTGGAGCATGTAGTCGAGGCGCTTGGAGGCGGAGTCCATGTTGTCGTCTTCTTCATCATCGGAGGAGGAGTCGACGAAGCGGCGGTCGGAATTTGAACGGCGATTGGTGGCGGCGACGGTGCCGGAGCTGAAGAGGCCGAAAACGTCGTCCTTTGGGTCGTGGTCTGGGGGATCCATTAAGAGCAAGAGGAGAGAGAGAGAGTATTCAAGGGCGATAAAATCTAGGCAATATGAAATGACTACAGTGTCTGTTTGTCTGTGTAAACGTGTTATATGACTCTCGTGCGGAAATTTTCAAAGTTGAAAATAAGAGAAATTATTGGCAATGAGAAATGGGTAATTTTTTTAGTTTTTTATTGTACAACAAAAAAAAAGAAAAAACATTGTGATTAAATGTTTTTAGTTTAGGTAAGTTTAATGTTCTAGAAAAAAAAAAACAATATTGGGGACATATACTATAAAAATATCAGTGTTACATGTTTTTTAACCGTTAAATTTATATATTTTTTAATTTTAATTAAATTTTATGTAAATTTAAGAGTTAAAAATACGTAATACCGGTACTCTGATAGTATCAGAGAATATCCGTTTAAATTGTATGTTACACGTAAGAAAAAATTTTAATATTATACCAGAATTTTCTGAATTAATAGAAGGTTTTAGGATAAGTTTTATTTATGAACTCCCTTGTGTTATGTTACTTGTGTCAGTATATTTCTTAATTTGACCTACTGGGGGTAGTCCAGTGGTAAATGGGTGGAGGAGGCCTAGCATCTAGTGGGTGTGGGTGTTTGTCTGAGGACGGACTTCTACCAAAATTATATAGGATTAGTCTCATAAATAGTTTATAAAGTTTAACCTCAATCTATTTTAGTATCTGATTTTTCAAACATTGCAAGTTAATCTCTGAAATTTTATTATGTTTTAATTATGATCCTTTATATTAGCTTAATGTTAAATATTTGACGGAATTTATAAAAATTAAGGATTAAAAATTAAAAACATATAAAATTTAAGGACTAAAATAATATCATAAAATAAAGTTAGTTGTTACAGATAATTCTAAAATTTTAGCTATTTTTAATTTTATACCTTAATTTACACATATTTCATCAAATTTTGACGCATAATTAATGGAATGACTGAAACTGAAATAAAATAAAATCTCATAGAGTAAAGTGCGATTGAGTGTAAACCTCAAAAACTATTTGTAGAATTAACCCAAATATATATATATATATATATTTTATACCTTAATTTACACATATTTCATCAAATTTTGACGCATAATTAATGGAATGACTGAAACTGAAATAAAATAAAATCTCATAGAGTAAAGTGCGATTGAGTGTAAACCTCAAAAACTATTTGTAGAATTAACCCAAATATATATATATATATATATATATATATATATTCCTTATTTTCTCGGAATCCTAGTTGGCCAAGTAGTGTAAACTGCTCAAACCACTTCCAGTTCCATGGTAAATTAAACAGGCAAGACATAGGCTGGCAGTGCAAGCACAAGGGAATTTATTGATTAATATATATCAGTTTGGCGTGCAGCTTATAATCTGTGTATTATATGCACTTTTTTGAATGTCTCATGCTGGTGTTAATGTTTGAATATCATTATTTTTCCCTTCTTTAGGATTTTGACGTGGGAGGACGCATACTGTGATAATGCAAAACCGGCAGAAGATTTGGGAAGTGCATCAGATGATAGCCATGTAAACAGATCAAAGCCAATATCCTTTCAAAGCCGTGAAACAAGTATGCAGGATATTGGATCTGAAGGATGTCAAATTGAACTTTTGGTGGCCAACATGTCATGTGTTCAATATGCCTTGGGAGATGGGTAGGGCTTTTTCCGAGGGCCTTTATCACATCATTTTCCAAACAATTTCAAAGATCTATATTAAGAAATCTCCACCAGTTAACTGGGGAAAGATCTTACTTTTTGTTCCCCCCCTTTCTTTAGAGGTATTGAGGATGGAGCCTCAAGGATTGGATATCGGAGGCAACTTCCTTTTAAATCCTCTTAATCATCTCATGCCTATTGCCTGCATCAATTGTAAAATTATGGTTGGTCTCAATTGATCTACAGCTGTATTGCTATACAATGTATCAACTAGCTTTACATCTGTTAGATCCTGAAAAATGGTTGACACTGACAGTTGACTTTCAAACAGGTTGGTAGGTGACGTGGCATGCACAGGGAAGCACACGTGGGTTTTCTTCAACAATTTCTTTACCAGAGAATTTGACAGCAACTTAGTTCCTGATGTAAGAATCTAATCATAATAGTGGTACGAAACATTTAATCTCTTCAAGTGCTGAACCTAATATCTCATCAACATAATTCTCTCAATTGACAGTGGACGGATGAGTGGCTTCTTCAGATTGCTATGGGTATCAAGGTAAAACGATTCTAAATGAATCATATCTCAGGCATGGTTATATTAGTACGTCCATAGAAACTTAACTTGCATATATTCACATGCAGACAATTTTGCTTGTACCTCTACTTCCAGATGGGGTTTTGCAGCTCGGCTCATTGGAGATGGTACGTTTTTCATGAATTTCATTTGTTTTCTGCAATGGTAGCGTCATTAACATAATTCTTACTCCTAGGAGCTGTAAGGAACTTTGCAGCTCATCTTTTTGCACAGGTCAGGTAAGAAGAAAGTGTCTAGGAAAGGTGATTGTTTTAGCACTTTTGTAGGCAGTCTTGTTGGAGAGAAACCGTTTTGAGAGGTGTGAGGAAGAATGTGGTGTTATATGGGATAGGGTGAGATATTAGATAGATCTTTTGGGTTTATCACGAAAAGAAATTTAAGGCTTGATTTTTTTCCATCTTGCGAGGTATTGGGGTTCAGTTTTGTAGTGTTTCACATGTGGTTTGTTGGAAGAAAATTCTTCCTCTATTATACTTCTACATAATTTTTTTAATCATTCATGAAATTTTGTCTTTGTTTCAAAATAATAATAATAACTAAATAAATAAATAAATAAATCTTACCTGCCGGAGTAGCAGTTTAGTTAGTTGTCTTTCTGCATCCGAATGGTCATATTTCATTTAGTGAGCAGGTGAGAAGTATGTTTAAGCGGCCTAATTATCATAGATTGATAGTTATGACATTGGAATATAACGTGTATGCACATATGTACTGGTGTGTTTTTCTCATTGTTCCCTGGTCCGTTTTCTAAACTTGAATTTCGCTCTACTTACACTCCTCTTAAAATTTCTATTGAGGATTCAGGTTGCTGAAGATCTTTCTGTTGTTGGTTTCATCAAAGAAAGATTCGATGCCTATCACAGTATGATGAGTTCAACTATACCATTCACGATAATGATGAATCCTGTAGATCATTCATCATTATCACCCCTATCTAGCACTGTGGAGAGCTTAAATGAACCTACACGTCTGATCACTAGCCGCGTAAAGTCTGAGAAATTGGAGGATTTCGACTGCAATACACTGAATGAAAGGAGGTTGTCAACTTCAATATATATTCCTTAATTTTAAACGTATTTGTTCCATTTGTAATGTATAATATATCTTTAAATTTTTCTTGAACTTTGAAACGTTTTTTCTTTTTTTTTTCGTTTCAGAAATATTAGCATTTGCGACATATGTAAGGAAGTCAAAATCGTTAATTTCTTAAACCCTTAATTAGCCCAATTAAATTTGTATTAGTTCTTCACTTTCTCCTCGTGGTTTTTTATTTTTGAGCGATTACTCTAAGAAAAGATTATATCTAAGATTTAGAGCTCAATTAATTTATTTGGATCGAACTCTGCAAGTTCGTTTGAAAAATAACACGTCTTAAGCTGAGGGGATAAATTAGATACGTGTTATAGATCAAGGAGGACAACAATTATATTATAAAATTCATGGAATGCGTTAACTTAAGAAGGGCAACATTTATATTATAAAGTTTAAGGAATATGTTGACATAAGTGATGTAATTTAAAAGAAATTATCCAAAGTTTTATGGCAAAGTAGAAAAGACTTTAATTTATTAATACTGTGTAACTCAATATCAATATCTTGACTAAGTGTTGTTAAATTGTCAAATTCAATTAGTATATGATATTACTTTTGAGTTAGATTTCTTTTATTTGCAACTACGATTGAACGCTTTAGAAAAATGAAAAATGAAAAGGATTCTAAATGATTTTTTAATAGTTGAAAACTATTACTAAATCGACTAAAAGAATTGTTCCTAAATTTGTTGTGGTTTAGCAAATTGCCTTTCAAATGTTTTATTTTAACAATTAACTTTTAAAATTTATAAATTTATTGTAATGTGCCACATTTTATTAGTTTTGCTCAAATTTTGTATTACATTTTAAGGGATTAAAAGTTGAAAAATTAAAAGACTTGTGTTGCATTTGAGTTATGATGTTGAAAGTCTTTGCTAAACGTGTTTTTCTGACGCTAATTTTATCACAATCATTGATAAAATGAGATATATTATAACAACTCTATAAATTGAGGGGACAATTTATTAAAATTCAAAATTTGAGCGACAATTTGTTAAATCATGACAAGTTTAGAGGGCAGACTTGTTAAAAATCCAAAAGAAAATGTATCTCAAGAATAATGACAATTATTTATTTATTTATTTATTTATTTATTTATGTGATTGACAGGTTTCTAATGGCTTATTCATTTGCACCCAAACTCAAAAAAAGTTTAAACTCAAATTACAATTTTATTCAAGATCATGTTCTTTTATAAAATTTGAGTTTGAACTTAAGTTTGAGATTAAAATCTGAGTTCAAGTTCCCATTTCAACTCAAATTCTTAATCTCAAGCTCAAGTTAATTAACAGTATTTTTTATATTCTTAAAAACGTCATAACTTTTTTGTTTTAATTCTGATTGAGATGATTTTTTTCTATGCGTTCATAACGAAGAGACGAGTAAAATCTCATCCATATACTCTATTAAAATTTTCCATCACCATTAAGTTTTTATTAAAATACTATTCAAATACAAATTCAGATTTTGACTTACCCAAACACAAACTCAAATAGATTCTCAATTCAAAGCATAACTCAAAATGTGCACATCTAAACATAAACTCAAATTAGAGTCTCAACTCAAACTATACTCAAATACACATTAACTCAAATTAAGATCTGAACTCAAATCACTCTAACTCAAAAAATACAAATGAATAAGCTATAAATTTTTAGCGGAAAGACTATTTAGGTCCCGCATTTTTAATTTTCACGTATTAATTCTTAATTTTTTTTATTTTTTGGGAACTTTGATTCCTAATACTAAATTGATAAATGGTTTTTGAAATGTAACAAAAATGACGATGTATTTATTGCATGATAACTGGGCAATCGGCTTACTCAAAATGAGACATTGAACTCCAAAAAAGCTGAGGGTTGTTCTTTTACACTTTTGAGTTAGGGTGATTTGAGTGATAATTTTAAATTGAGTTTGAGTTATAACTTGAGTTTGTGTTTGGATGTGTACATTTGAGTTATGATTTGAATTGAAAATCTATTTGAGTTTGTGTTTGAGTGGGTCAAAACTAAAATTTGTATTTTGATAGTATTTTAATAAATAGTGATGAAAAATTTTAATAAGGTATATTTGTGGGGTTTTATTCGCCTTTTCTTTGTGAATGCATAGAAAAAAAAAATTATCTCAACCAAAATTAAAATGAAAAAGTTATGGCATTTTTAAGAATATAAAAAATACTTATTCATTAACTTGAGTTCGAATTTATGAACTCGAGTTGAAGGGAAAACTTGAAATCGAATTTAATCCCAAAATTTTATAAAAGAACATAAACTTTAATAAAATTGTAACTCAAATTCAATTTTTTTTTAAATTTTGTTGCAAAAGAATAACCCTCAAAATAAATTGAGGACGTGAACCTATTTATTTATTTATTTATTGTTATTTTCCTGCAGAAGTTCTCCAATAGAGAGTAGACTTTGAGAACGTGGAGGTGGAGTGGACGTCACAATTTTTTTTATTTTTTTTCGTAATTTTAGGATTACACTTTTTTTTTCTTTTCTTTAATGGGTTTAGGATTAGACTTTTAACGCCCAGTGTACAGTATTTGATTCAAAAAAAAATTTAAGATACAAGGGGTTAAAAGTCACACAAGTCTCTTATAATTAGGGGTGTAAATTGGCCGGGTAGGGTAGGGTTGAGTCGAAAAATTGAGCCTATCCGATCAGTGCGGGTTGAAAAAATTTTAGGCCGTGACATTCTCTTAAGTCTACAAACCCGCAACCTTTCGGGTGACCTTGGGTAGGGTCGGGTTACTCGGGTTGGTGAAAACCAATTTTAATATATGACTTCATCAATTTTAATCAATTTTTAGTCAATTAATCTGTGCTTGTTATAGAAGAAATCATTATCAAACAGAACATGCCTTTCCTTCAAGAGGGGGTCTAAATGCAAGGTGAACAATTAAAACACTCACTTTGAAATCAAACACTTCTAATATAAATAAAAAATGTCCTAATTCAACAACTATGGAATACAAGCATTTTTTACACAAACCATGAATTCAAAACATAAATAAGTTAACAGTTTAAAAGCATAAAGTCCATAAACTTATGAAAGTAAGAATTTGAAGTGTTGGACATTGTTTTACCTACTTTGAACATGTTCGGCCGGGTAGGGTTACCTCGAGTTCATGTAACCCCACCCCGCGTCCCTACCCGCGCAGTGTGGGTTAGGCATAATTAAAACTGAAAATTAAATAAAAAATTAGAAACCCGTGATTTTTGAGTATGGTCGGCTCGGCTCGGCCGGGTTCGTCGGGTTCGGGCTGATTTCTTACAGCCTTACTTATAACTCATACAACAAACTATTAGCAGAAATTTCGTGACATTTTGCTTCCTACTTTTGTTAAACCAAAAATTAGACAAGTTTCCAATAGTGTAATAAGGATATATCTTACCGGTCTAGACATTTTAAATCATCAAATCTTTGTTAATTTTTATTAATTTACTTAATTTTTTTCATATATGATTTAATATTATCTTATCATATAATTAAATTGTGTTAAACAATTACAGAACTAGAGATCTTTTCTAAATGTTTGGTAGAAGGATTCGTTTCCTGATTCAAATTATAATTCGTGATTCGTTACAGTATTTTTTTTTCTAAAAAATAATTCTAATTTATGAACCAAACAGACTCTAATGATTCATCAATTGCTGAGTCTCCATTATGCGATGGGAAGGACTAAGGAGTGTAGAATGTAGCTCTGCCACCTCAGCATATTTCTTTCTCTTTCTTGAAGTTTTGGTCAAACCAGCAATCTCATTGGCAGGTAAGAATTAGTTGCATTTATTTTTCATTTCGAAAAGAAAGAAAAAAAAAAAACGATTCGAGGGCAAACCAAACTGTATTCCTGTTACTCAACCTGTCTTACAACACCTAATCGAAAATTTCCAATTTGTCAACATGCCACGTCGTTCGAATAAATATAATATTTATTAGTTTATAATAAATATAGTATTTATAAATAAATAAAAAGTTGAGCAATCGTCAAAGTCGATGAACGAATTTTAAATATGATATTTATAATAAATACAATATTTATTAAAAAATATGATATTTATTGATAAATATTATGTTAAACGGTTTCTAAAAAATTATCACCGGACTTTCAGATAAATATGATATTTATTAATAAATACAGTATTTATCTGTAAATACAATGTTAAACAGTCACTGAAAAAATGGTCCCTGAAAAACAGACACTTAAAAATGGTCATTGGTCGCCAAAAAACAGCCACCGGTCGCTAGAGTTGATTGTTGGAGCCGGCCGCCGGAGCCGATCATGGTGGACTTGACTATAATCTATTTATTTTAAAAAATATGTTATAATTTACTATTTTTTTAAAAATAGATGTTTAAGGGAGAGATGTGAGGTGGAAAAGATGATTTAGGGGCATTTTTGAGTTTTTAGTAATATTTAAAATTTCAAATTTCAAATTATGCTATAATCTACTAATTTTTAAAAATATACTATAATTTATTAATCGCCCTACCAATTATGATATATCCTTCTCTATCCCTTTTTCAAATTAAAGGATTAAATTGTCAAAAATGATTACAAAGATGAAAATATTAAACCGTAAGAAAGTTAGAGAATATAGGTGATTGAAATCATATTGTTGATCATATATCTATCGCAAGAAATAGAACATTCAACAATAAACTATTTAGTTCCATAAGATATCCATGTAAAAATTACCTAGTCTCACAGGTATATATGTAGACCACCATATTATCATTTCCATTTGCATAAGCATGCTTGAATTTAGCGTTTTTAGCACAATTGTCCCCTCAATTTACTGTGATTTAATAAATTACCCTCTAAACTTTTAATTTTAACAAGTTACTTCTCAAACTTGTAAATTTATTGCAATGTACCTCATTTAACTAAATTTACTCAAATTTTTTATTAGATTTAAGAGATTAAAAGTTGAGATATTAAAATATTTGTGTTACATTTGAATTAGAACGTTAAAATTCTTAACTGAACTTGTTTTTTGACACTAATTTAACGCAATCGTCATCAAAGTAAAACACAAAACACATGGAGAAAAAAATTGATCATGAAAAGAATGAAAAATCACATCATCACAAGTAACGAAATTATTCCGATAGGAAAATTGAAATTAGAGATTTAAGAAAATTATGAGAGAGACCAATAAAGTTGAAATGGACAGAAAATAAAAAAGCAACAAAAAAATTAAAAAGGTAAGAGTGTTATAAAATAAAAGAAAGCAACGGAGTGAAAGAACAAGAACAAGAGGATTGAGAGAAGAAAGAAGAGAATATTTTTATTCACTAAGATCGTTACAATACTTTTCTAAAGCTCTATTTATATGCTCTTTTATAGAACAATAATAGAAAGATCTATAGAATAATTGTGATTACTAAAATCATGGGTTAATCAATTATAGATTTCAATCAAACATAATCTCAATCAACTACAGATTACAACTCTATAAATTGTGACTTTTAATTCTATGAAGATACCGTAAAATCTAGTTAATAAACATCCATATAAAATCTTAGATTTATAACAAAGAGAATATTGAGAGTGAAAGACTACAATAGATAAATGCCGCCAAAAACAAAGAAAGGAAAAAAAATAATGCACTAAAAAATGATAAAAGGAAAAAAAGTAAAGCATTATTTTGGAAAAGATAATCATGCCCATATAGAGTTAAAAAAAATACAAAATATGATGGAGTTAAAAAAAAAGAAATATTTAAGCGGTTTTAAAATATTATAATAGACAGTTGGAGAAAAATAAAAGAAGAAAATTAAAAATAAAGCAAAAGAAAGAAAGAGAAAAAGTAAAAAATACGGGAATTAGAGGGGAAAAAAGTAAAAAGAAAAGTGAAAAGCACCAAAACGGTGCGTTATAGACGACGAAAAGAAACAATAGGGATAATATCAACTCCCTGTTTATTTTACTAATTTGAGTTTAGAATTCAAATTTTGTTACAGTAAAAAGCTCTTAGAAACAGTCACATCTAACTTTTTTGCTACAGTAAAAAGCTCTCACATAAAGTCACATTTCAGCTCAAATTAAAAACTCGAATCAACGAACTAAATGGGTATGTGAGATTCACTGATTGCTTCAATTACGAGGAAAATAAAAATTATCTTTGTCATATATTGTGTGAGGAATTTATTAATTGTGGGAATGGTGAGCAGGAAGAGACTACAGGTGCGTTAAGAACTCATTCCAAAATGAGTTTATTTTTTGTATAAAAATAGTAATGAAAATGTTTTCAATCTCAGACTGAAATCATTTTTGAAAATACATTTAGTAGTTTTATTAAGAGATTATTTTCAGTATAAAAAAATTCATTAACGTCTTTCTCTGTGCTCGAGAGAGGAGAAAACGAAAATAAAAAATGAAAAATGACTAAAAGTCATTTTTCATTTATCTCTCATTTTACACTAAACTAAAAAATCGTTTTTATTTATGTTTTTTATCTTTAATTGTGTCAAACATCATTTTTCTCTCGTTTTCATTTTTTTTCTCGAAAAACGTAAAAAATAAAAACAAAACCAACTCCAAACATGACTTATGGATCCTTTTAGTGAGGTCAAAATTGGAAATTGGATGCTCAAATTGGTCTTCAAATTATTGTTGAAGCTCATAGTGGACCAACAATTTTTGTGGACTTCGTACTAAAGCCTTCAATTTTTGTTTGTCAACTTTTAACGACCCGATTTTCTGAACGGTTATTAATTATAAATTTATGCCTCGTTCATTTTACCTATTTGAATTTTTAATTTTAAGTTTTTATAGTAAAAAACTCTTAAAAAATGTCACATCTAACTTTTTTTAATTACAGTTAAAAATTTTCAGAAAATATTATATCCCAACTCAGTTCCGCGAAACGAATGAGACCTTAATTATTAAAATTTTAAGGATTTTTTTGACAACTTGTTTTTTTGGAGATCGGCTTCGCTATCTATAAAGAGGACAAATCCTTATAAAATCCTTGTCGTCTGTAGAGAGAAGGTTGGCCATCGCCATCAGTGGAAGAAAGAGAGAGAGCTAGGGATCATAGACAATGGCTTAGTTTGGTATTACTTTGTTCTCTTAAAATTAGCTTCTGCTTGTAGCAGAAACTGATTTTAGTGTTTGGTAAATCTATTCAAAAGTGCTTTTTGAAGAATTTTTCAAGAATCTACAGCTAAAATCAGAAGCAGTCTATAGACAACTTTAGCTTTTAGATTGTGCGAAAATCAGCATAGTACAATTAATGAAATTTTAATAATACCAATAATATCCCTAATGAAATTTAAAATTTACAATCTTCTCAAGCTAAAAGTCATACTTGTAATATAATATAATATAATAAAATAGTTATATTGTAACAAATAATATCATAATTATATTAATAACTCTAATATTATTATTTTATCATATAATATGATATTATAATGATATTACAAGTATTTTAATAATATGATATTATAATTATAATATGATATTGTAATTATATATATTATATTATAGTATAATAAAATATAGTCATAATTTTTAATTATCCACAGTAATTTAATCTCATAATTTACCAAACACTATTACACTGATTTTGAAACCAGCACATCTATTATAATTATAGTTTACCAAACACTTAGCTGCTTTTTGTAACAGCTGCTTCTTCCTTCAGCACAGCTAAAAGTAATTTTTTTTTAAAATTTACAGCACTACCAAACTAAACTAATAGCGATTTCGACCAAGATTCATTGCCGGAGTTTCAGGTTTTAAAGATTGGTGGACAATGAGGTGGTGGCAAGGAAGGGTATGGCAGTGACGCTAAAGCAAACAAGATTTTTTTTTAATGGTGAATGAAAAAGAGAAAAAAAAGATAGTAAATTTTTTCCGTTGTGATAGTTTGGTAGAGGGATTCGTTCCCTGATTCGAATCATGGTTCGTGGTTCGCTACAATATTTTCTCTCACAAAAAATACACATAAATCAAAAATAGTTCTAATCACATAGTTCTAATCCATGAACCAAACGACCCATTAATTATTAATCAGCTTCAATTAATCAGTTAGTCACTAATTAATTATATTTGGTTGTCTAGAGTAAATTATCTTTTTTTTATTGGAAGTGACACGTTTCAAACTTTTTCACAGAAGTGGTTGAATTGAACAACAGAAACACAGAAGTGATGACTCTAATGAAGGTGTCTTATCTATCCTCTTAGGAGCAAGAGATAATAGAGTCCGATTGAAATTTCACCAATTTAAAATTTAAGTTTTGTTACACTAAAATACTCTTAAAAATAGTTATATTTAACTTTTTTATTATAATAAAAAAACTATTATATAAAATCACGTATCAATTTAAATTAAAAATTTGAATCAACAAATTAAACATACTCTAAATCACTTGAGGAAGAGATGTAAAAACTATTTCAATGTGCGTTTGGAGCAAAGATTCGTGTCATGGTTCAAATCATATTTCGTGGTTCACTACAGTATTTTTTCTCACAAAAAACACACGTAAACTGAGAATAGTTCTAAATCATGGTTCTGATCCCACGATTGGAATGTAAAAGTGCTTAATGGATCAAATTTTTTTTGAATTTTTTAGGATGCGTTTAGTTAGTGTATTCGTATTATGATTTGAATCATAATTCATGATTCATTATAATATTTTCTCTCATAAAAAATACACATAAATTAAAAATAATTTTAAATTATGTTTCTAAATTTACAAGTCTACCAAATTGGTACACAGTAACGAGCATATTAAACGGAAAAAATAATAAATTAAAGGTGGAGTTGTGAGGAGGCAACGCTACAATGAATAAGAATCAGAGTACGACAAACTTCCAACGCATGCACTGCCATCACGCCACCACCCACTTTTTTTAATCAGTTGAGGGGTGAAAAAAAAAACATGTATTTTATAATGCGGAAAAGGTAATTTTGAGTACCAAAACCTCACATTCTGATTTCTGTACTCTCTCTCTCTCACTGAGTCCAAAATATAAAGGCAAACAAAAAATAATAAAACAATTGAAAAAGAAAGGCAAACGTCACACTACCCACCTACCCCACAACTCTTTAAAAAATTCCCATCATTTTCTATTTCTTTCTTTCTTGGGATTATCACCATCATCAATATTCAATCCTCAATCAGAATTCAAAACTCTCCATTCATCAACTAGCCAATTCTGCTTCTTCTTCTTCTTCTTTTTGTTGTTTTTCCATGGGAAAATTTATAAATATCCCAAATTGGGCAAGGCTATATTATTATTTAGTTGTGGTTCTACAGCTAATTGCAGCTCAAGTAGTGATTGTTAAAGGAATCGGAAATGATCATATTAATAACACAAGTACCAGTATCAGTACTGGTGGTGGCAGCAGCGAATTCCAAAGCAGCCTCAACTACTACATTTGGCCAATGCCTAAAGACGCACTACTCAGCCATGGCCATAATAATAATAATAATAATAATAATGTTGTTGCTGTTGTGATTGTAGCCAAGGATTTCCATCTCTCCACCAAATACGGCGACGTTTCTGGCATTCTCAGTGACGCTTTCTCCAGACTTGTCTCCCTCATCCAACTGGATCATATTGCCAATCTCCCTACTTCTTCATCATCCCTTATTCATCTTCAGGGCTTAAACGTCGTCGTTTCCTCCAAAGATGAAGAGGTTCTTAATTGCTGCTGCTGCTGCTGCTAGCTACTTTACCAATTACCTAATTCTTCTTCCTCAATTATTAAATCTATAATGTAGTAATGCTTCTATGAGGTTAATGTTGTCGTTAATTCATGCAGTTGAGATATGGAATAGACGAGTCGTACAACTTGTCAATTCCTTCACCTCACCCGGGGAAGCCTCTCTATGCATATCTTGAGGTAATTACTACTTATTTAATTACTCATTACGGCTTTATTTATTTATTTATTTTTAACTTCGGTCAGATTGTTGTTTTTCATCACAAAGCTTTTGTTTCCGCTGAATGATTTTTTATATTAATTTTTCATTTAACTTGGTGTAATTCTCTGTCATCAACAACCAAAATGAACAGGCTGAAAAAACCTTGTCTGTTTCAATTCTAAAAAAGTGTTTGGTCTGAGTTGACAGAGAGAATTATGAAATACAAATGGAAATTTATTATGTTGTTAGTACCAAACACACAGTTGGACTTGGAACTAATTATGTTAGCTTTGCTTACTTTCTTTATGCAGGCGAAGACCGTTTATGGCGCATTACACGGATTTCAGGTTAATTCTCTCCTACTCTGTGTTTGTTTTTACTTACTTTATTATTATTTATACAAACTATTATTTACAGTTTGGCATAAATAAAATTAAACAATTGCAGACATTCAGCCAATTGTGCCGTTTTAACTTCAAAACAAGGATAGTTGAAGTTCAAAGGGTACCACGGACCATTATTGATGAACCCAGATTCTCTTATAGAGGCCTTTTGATTGGTGAGACTAAGACTAACATACACATATATATGCTCTTCATGTTTCCTGGCAACACATTTGTGTCTCAACTAACACTTTCAATTATCTTTCAGGACATGATCATCTGCATTTTAAATAGTATTTTCATCAATATCGGTATGTTTGAAGATTTATAGAATAAAAAAAGAGGAAGATATATATGTATGTGTTGCATTTCTTCGCTCTTTGATCAATAGCTTATTATTTTTCTTTTTCATTTTTTCATATATGATGTCTGCTATAGTTAGTTAGTTTTTAAGTACAACCACCTTATCTATTTCTAATTGCTAACTCGGATATCTGTTTCTCGTAAGTCAATGTTCATTGATCCCCTGATATTTATTACTACTAATTCCCCCCCTCCCTAAGGCCGTGTTTGGTTTAGAGGGAAAGACGATAGGGTGGATATCAAATCTAGAATTATCATGAAGATTGTCAATTCCTCGCTCTATCCATTATTTACTCTAACCCCTTCTACCAAACAACCATAAGTTTTAAAACCCCTATCCCTCCTACGAAACGTGGCCTAAAGTGCAATATTTTAATGCGTCCTGAAACTTGAAATGCTAGAATATATTAAATGGAACATTGCATAAACTAAATTTTAATACTTCATAAAGAAAATTTTCCAATGGATTCATGTATGTCCCTGGATTGACTCGGTTCGGTGCAGATACATCTCGACACTATCTGCCGCTGCCAGTGATAAAGAATGTAATTGAATCCATGACCTACGCGAAGCTGGTACACTTTCAAGCTATTTGGAGTTTCCGATTTTAATGCAAATCCTTCTGAAACAGAAGTAAAACTATAGTTAACGTGTCCAATGCATTGACCGATCCTTTCTTTCCTTCAAATAAAACAGAATGTGTTGCACTGGCACATCGTGGATTCGCAGTCTTTTCCTTTGGAGATACCTTCATTTCCAAAACTCTGGAATGGTGCTTACTCAGATTCAGAAAGATATACCGTAGCAGACGCCAAAGAAATTGTGAGGCGAGTGAAATCCGTCTTGTTTGCATTTGTTAAAGATATTACCATTCTTATGCAGTTATCTAATATTTTGATTTATACATTTGCAGCTATGCTCAAAGACGAGGGATTAACGTATTGGCTGAAATTGACGTCCCGGGACATGCCCTTTCATGGTAATTTCCAACCAAACTAAACAGATTCACGTAATGCATGATACCTTTTAGCAACATTCATACAATTTAAAATTATTAGCCTGCAAACTGCTTTTGTTTTCATTCTGTTCTCTGCTTGTTATGCCTGCCTAATCTTCCCTTATGTTTGAAGATGAAGTTGTTTTAATTAAGCTGTCTAAGTAGCTGGTGTTCTTAATAATATACTTTAGGGGAATTGGTTACCCTTCTCTATGGCCTTCAAAGACGTGTCAAGAACCGCTTGATGTTAGCAGTGAATTCACCTTTAAAGTTATCAGTGGAATTCTTTCAGGTAAATTAATGTCATATCTTCTCGTTTTTTGCTCATATATCATTCTTCCTATGTCACTTCATCAATCACTTTTTTTTTCTTGTTTTAAATTTCACGTGTTTCAGACTTTAGCAAGATCTTCAAATTTAAATTCGTTCACTTGGGAGGTGATGAAGTAAATACCAGTAAGTTCACTTTTTTTTTTTTGGTCACAAGTTTTTTGATGTTGCCTTTTGATTTATTTAACTATTCTTTTAAAATAGGCTTTCATATTTATATCTATTACTAAATTTGTTGTCTTTCATCATACTACTGCCTTTGACTTTTCAGGTTGTTGGACGACCACGCCTCGTATTAGAAAATGGTAAACGACATTGAAAAATCAATTCAAAGTCCCATTTATACTTTTCTTTTTCTTTACGTTGAAAGTAAAGGTTTTCTTTAACATATCAGATCTTAGGTGGCTGGTATTTTTGGATAAAGTTAGTTTTTGTAATTATATCTCATTTTGCTGCTTCTCAAATGGCCGAGCTTGAATGGGAGTTCTCTGTATCGCTTGTAGTTCCAGTTCAAGAATCTGTCTTCCTCTTTCACCCTCTTCTCTTAGCCTTTTAAACGTTCAAGTTTTAATATTCAGTAGGCAGATAATTTAACAAAGAGTCTATTGCTTATGACGATTGTGTTGTGCAGGCTAAGAAAGCAGGGAATGAATGGATCTGAAGCTTACGAATATTTTGTCTTGCGAGCCCAAAATATAGCTTTATCTTATGGATATGACATTGTTAACTGGTATGAAACTTATGCACAATGTTGTCCAGCTACAGTTAAAAAGAAAAAGGGGGCATTATATGGTTTTACATCTCATGTGTCTAGTCCTATAAAAACATCTACAGGGAAGAGACTTTCAACAACTTTGGCAATAGATTAAGCCGCAAGACCGTAGTGCACAACTGGTAAGTTAACAATCTCCTTTTGTATATGACTTGGTTAATTAAGTTTCTCATACAACCAGAAGGATTTTTCTCTGTTTTTGGCTAAGATTTAAGGAGCAAACATAATGTGACATTTCCTAGCCTAATTTATGCAAGTAATTAACAGATGAAGTGAATTCATGATTTTATGTCATGACTAATTGACTACGATACATTTTAGGCTTGGGGACGGCGTTGCTCAGAAAGCAGTGGCAGCCGGATTAAGATGCATTGTGAGTAATCAGGACAAGTGGTATTTGGACCATTTGGATGCAGAATGGCAAGGTTTCTATTCAAATGAACCACTTGCAAATATAACAAACCCAAAACAACAAAGATTAGTTATTGGTGGTGAGGTTTGCATGTGGGGTGAACATATTGATGCCTCTGATATTCAACAAACCATTTGGCCCCGTGCTGCAGCAGCTGCAGGTACTTTTTACTTTACTTGCATTCATTGTGTTTTATTTACCAGTATTTGTCTGGGATGGCAATTTTACCCGTAAACCCATGTACTTATAAAGACCAACCACCTTAAACAAAGTAGGTTAAACCAGTCCAATCAGGTTAAACCACCCTTAAACTTTCAGCATAATCGAGTTCGGATTCTAAACGGGTTAAACATTTTACATCATAGACTAAGTGTGTGTTTGGTTGGTGGATTCGTGGCATGATTCGAATCATGGTTCGTTACAGTGTTTTTTCTCACAAAAAATACACGTAAATCGAAAATAGTTCTGAATCATGATTCTGAATCCATAAACCAAACGTCCACCAACTTAAATTATGACAATTTAGAACCTTTGTGTACCTTCATTCTTAACTCAAAGTAGATGCTATATGTGTAGCTCTTCTTTCTTCTCTTCTCCTGGAAAAAACCAAGTGGACCTGTCATAGGGAAAATCGCCCTTCATTCTTAACCTGAAGGGTTGAGAATTGTACTTTTCTTTACTTATAAGTTTAAGGCAGGTTGGCATGACAGCCGTCCTGCCTCAAATCCATTCCGTTGACATCCCTTAGTCGTATACACGTTAGCAGGGCTCTCATACCACAACATATTATTAGATGTTTACATTTTTCTTGTAAATACGTATGGTTTTTGAAGAGCGGCTATGGACACCTTATGATAAGCTGGCCAAGGATCCGAGGGACGTGACCGGAAGGTTGGCTCATTTCAGATGTTTGTTGACTCAAAGAGGAATTGCTGCTGCTCCATTAGCCGGACCGGGAAGAGTTGCTCCTGAGGAGCCTGGCTCTTGCTATAAGCAATAGCAATAGACAGTAGTAATTAGTAGCAAGATTATTTATTTATGTATTAATTTTTATGGACTCTTGGCTCTGGCTCTGGCTCTGGGTAAGGAAAGTACTTTGCTTTTCTCACCCCACGAGCCACAACTGATGTATTTTACTTAACTAAAATAATTACTACATTTTTTTTTAATACAACCTGAACGAGATAAAGCTGAGAATTATAAAATCAAATTTAGAAGCAAATGTGGCAATGACAAATTATTAAAATATATCATGATATGCAATGCAAGAGTAACACTCGTGAGACAATATAACTTACAATTATTTCTCACATCAATGTCAATGAACAAATAACTAATTAAAAAGTTAAGACGTACAGAGTTGTGGAATCTAATTAACATGGCTTCAGTTCAGAAGTAGTATTAATTAAGGACGTCATGGCTTCCAAGGTGGTGGTGGTGGTGGTGGGCTTTGTGGCGTAAGTGGTGGAATTGCGGAGAACATGGTGTTCTTGTCTATCCCACCAGCACCGCCACTTTTTGTGAGAGACACAAGTGCGGCAACCAGCCCTGCATTGCCCGCCAAAGTTGGCTCCGTGTTATAACAACTGTGTGCGTCTTTGAAGCGATGAAACTGATCCGGGCCACCGACCATAGCTCCTGTGATGTTGTGAGGATTAGGGTTAGACGTGTCACGCCACTTAAATCTGCCGGTGCACGAGTAGTACTTATTGTTGTTGGGTATTGAGGCTGCGCGGTGATGGACATGCCTTGGGAAGTTCTTGCCATAGCCCACAATGTAGCTCATTTTCATGGGGTTTTTTGTCCAGGATGTAATCTACCTGCAGTGTGATTTGAAATTAAAAAACAATATTTGAGCAGATTTTCCATTACTGCTTGGTTTTGGGTATCCTATATATATATATATATAGGTGGCAAATTCGCGCAGATGGTCCAAGGAAAAATAATTGGAGCTGCAGTAGAAACCGGGAACACCGATAGCATCCATGTAATCAGCGTAGAGAGATGCCAAGAAAGCGGCGTTAGCTGCGCATTGAAGAGGCTGCGGGCCTCCTTGGTTGAGCATGATGAGTCCACATTTAGTAAAATTGAAGATGTTGAAGGGTTGAAAATATGAGCACATTGTAAGACTTGTGGTATTATGGTACATCTGCAACATGTCCTCGTATGGGTAGCCTGGACTCAAGAACATCCTAAACCTGATCAAGGATGAAAATATTGTCGAAACATTTTAGAAAGAATCGAAATTCTATAGGGAAAAATATAATTAAAAAAAACAACCTGGTCAACATAAGCATGGCGACCGGCAACTTGTTGTCCCAACTGGGCACGCTCAATTTGGGGATCCTAAAAAAGGCCTTAGAGTGTCGGGAAAAGCCTGGCTTGGTTGCAAGAGAAATGTAGGTAGCTAATTGGAAAACTTGAAACAGATCCGAAGAACTTTGATTTCAACAAGCTCATCAATATATTATTCAAGTCTGTCTATTACAACAGCTAATAAAGATATATTTATAGTCCTCTTAAAAAAATATGACAAAAATAACCCCTAAAGAACGTACAACATACGAAACAAATAACGAAAACAAGTAATAAAAATAAAGCCAACTTATTATAGATAATCCTCCTACATCTCACGTAAACTCTCTTGTGCTATGACTAATGTGTATAACAAAACATATGGTAGAAAACTACAAAATGAAGTGTTGACACCAGTAGTACACACACACACACACACACACACACACACACACACACATATATATATATATATATGAGAGAAACATGATAAGAATCCATTACTGGGCTGTTGACAAATATGAATACAGTGATCTATGAAGAGAGGGCTTCTAATAATGTGTCTTTATTTCTTATATTTATACGTACGATGACAAATGTTCTAGCATATAACAAACATGAATATAGAAAGAAACACAATTAGATTGATATATAGGTGAGAATATTAGACATGTATAAATTAAGAGACTCTAACCGTAAATGCATATACATATATATATATATATATATGTATATAGAGATATAAATAGGTCTTACATTTCTGGGCATTGTAATTGTGTGATATAAATTGGCCTTGTGGAGAGCCAAAGTGTAAGAGTCAGGAGGAAAGGGGTGATCCTTAAGAGAGCTTGGAAGTGTATTGGCAATGATGATTGGGAGACCTATCACTCCAATACCCAACACAATACACCACAGACTCCACTTCAAAGCCTTTTGGCTGCAAACAACGCAACCAATGTCAACGTACTTGCTCTTCTTATCCGTCTTCTTCTTGTTTGGCTCCAACAGTCAGCTTTTCTGCATCATCGTCAGCTGCTCAAATCGCGGCTGCTGCGGATGATACGCCGCCGACTCACTCGCTGTTTGTGTTCGCCACGCCGACTGGATCTCCTCGTCCTCTGACTTCGAACGATCCCGATTCCCACCAATTTCCTGAATGCATCATATATTATTGATAATTACTCTAGAAGAAGAAGAAGAGAATATAGGAATAGAAGAAGAAGAAGAGCCGGCAGTCTAGTACGTGCATTTTGGATTCTTATTCAGTAATTGTGTGATATTGCGTTTGTAATTGTGTGATATTTATAGTAAGAAGAAGAAGAAGAAGAAGAAGAAGAAGAAGAAGAAGAGGAGGAGGAGGAGGAGGAGGAGGAGGAGAAGGAGGAGGAGAAGAAGAAGAAGGAGAAGGAGAAGAAGAGAATATAGGAATAGAAGAAGAGAATATAGGAATAGAAGTGAATAGAAGAAGAAGAAGAAGAAGAAGAAGAAGAAGAAGAGAATATAGGAATAGAAGAAGAAGAAGAAGAGCCGGCAGTCTAGTACGTGCGTTTTGGATTCTTATTCAGTAATTATGTGATATTGCGTTTGTAATTGTGTGATATTTATAGTAAGAAGAAGAAGAAGAAGAAGAAGAAGAAGAAGAAGAAGAAGAAGAAGAAGAAGAAGAAGAAGAAGAAGAAGAAGAGCCGGCAGTCTAGTACGTGCGTTTTGGTTTCTCATTCAGTAATTGTAAAGAAGAAGAAAAAGAAGAAGAGCCGGCAGTCTAGTACGTGCGTTTTGGTTTCTCATTCAGTAATTGTAAAGAAGAAGAGAGCCGGTAGTCTAGTACGTGCGTTTTGGTTTCTCATTTAGTAATTGTAAAGAAGAAGAAAAAGAAGAAGAGCCGGCAGTCTAGTACGTGCGTTTTGGTTTCTCATTCAGTAATTGTAAAGAAGAAGAAAAAGAAGAAGTAATTATGTGATATTTATAGTAACATTGCTGTGTACTTTGTACCTATGATATTATATGGTATAATTGGGGAGGATTTTTGAGTAATTGTAAAGGCAACCGAGGAAACAAATATATAGATTAACATATAAAGAAGTTGACTTTGATTTTTTTGGTTTTTCATTCAATCTTAATGTGCAATAGAATATATGTATATGTATATATATATATATAGATATAAATGAAACTTTAATAATACCTATATTTTTAAGGAAATTACTTATTATTATATATTTAACAAAAGTTTTTTGAAAAATCGATGATTGTTCTTTCTTAATTTAGAGGCGGCAAATGATGCTTGGATGAGGGGCTATGTAATTAAACTTCAAATTAAGATGCCTTTTGAATCTTAATTTTGCCACTACTATTCCCTTTTGAAGCTGATCTTTTTAGAAAGGGATTCTCAATATTCTTAGGGCATGTTTGGCTTTATTTTTAGAGATTGCTTTTATTTATTATTTTTTTTTAAGAAGGTATAGCAAGTTAAAGTGTTTGGCAAAACCTGTTTTTCATTTGTATAAAAACCGAAGTCCAGTATAATTGTCTTAAATGGCTTATTTACTAACAATTTTTAAACATTGACCTATTCATTTGTATTCCCATCTTAATTAGACCTATTTTCCTCCTCCCTTGAAATTAATAAACTTTTGAATTCAAACGTTTGATAACATGGGGACTTGATTTTTGATGGTTTAAATGTCAAGAATGTTCAAACCATTCTTTTCGTTATTTTATTATTGGGAGAATGAGAAAAAAGGAAATAAAAATTTATAGCGGAATTTAAAGGAATGAAAACTAATATAATATATTTTACACCAAAATATTTCTAAAATAACCCTGCACTCTCTCTTGTTAAGAAAAATACATGTGTGTGTTGTCCCATATTAAAAGTGGATGAAGATGTGAAGTGATTTATATACATAGAAAGACCTAAGACTAAATAAGTTAACTTTTTATGTTAAATTAGATTCTTAAAGTGTGTTAGGTCAGTTTTTTTATATGAGGTGTCTCTCCAACATCTCTCGCCACTCATCCTCCTTCTCTCTTTTCCATGAACACTGCTCACCAACCTCCATTTCCACTACACAAACAAGCAAACCCAGACTCCTGCAAAATAAACAAATAAACTCAGAGACCCATCTCGCATCTCCAGCGATCTCAGGCAAACGAGAAGAGAAAGAATAGGATCAGTGCAAGGGGAGTGGAGAGAGAGACCTTTTTAAACTCCTGAACTAAAATTTGAAAAGTATGTCTTAATCTTATAGTTTAAAATGACGTTTGGATATGAAGTTAAGATATAGTTTGAAAAAGGGAATAAAATCTGAAAGTGTATTTGGATGTATAATTAAAATATGTACTTTTCATGAGAATGAGTTCAATAACTGCGGATTTTGAGTCAAAAATGCAAATAATGTTTTTATTTTTATTTTTCCTTTTTAAAAAGGGTTTGGTCATTTAGGACCCATTTAATTCATGGGTTTAAACTTGTGATTTTAATTGTGACTTTTAAAATTTAAATTTTTGTGAGAGAAAAAGATTGCATCAGAATTAAAATTATAAATTTAAGCCTATGAAGAAGCCATGAAACAAACACACCCTTAATATACACTGGGTTTTCTGTTTGGTTTTTGGTATCTATGTATTGTTTTGATTTTGTACTCATCTATGGTAGAAGTGGATCGGTTTTGTTTTCTAAACGCGAGCTAAATAGAATCCCAAAACAAGAACACACGATAATTAGTAATTTCAATTTGAAGAAAAATAATTAAATTGATAATTTTAAAAAGCGGGATATTTGTGAGTTTAGGGATTAATCCATTACAATAATTTTATAAGTTTAGATATTAATGATTAAAATTAAAAATTTAGGAAATAATTTACTACACTACGATAAGTTTAGGAAACAATTATGCTAAGAATTCCTAATGAATATAACCAATGAACATCCTTCCCTTAAAAAGATTCAAAGATATGTTTTTCTATTTTCACGTCTCATTATTGATTATTTTCTACTATTTATTTGTCATATCATCAAAATTTAGCAACATAATTATATAAATAAGAACTAAATATTAAATTTAGTTAAACAATTTATTAAGAGTATGTTTGGTAGGAAAGAAAAGTAGAAGGAAAGAAGAAGGTGGATGGATTTTGGGAGGAAAAATGAAAATGTAGATTGTTTGGTAGGAGAGAAAAGAGAAAGGAAGAGAAAATGGAGTGGAAAATAATACATGTGGGCTCTACCATTTTTTTTCTTTCCACAAGTGGACAGAAAATGAGATAGAAAATGAGGACAACTCATTAAAGTGAGTAAAATTACTAAACTACCATTTTCTCCATCAACATCCAAGCAAAAAATTTAAGGGTATAAAAGTAATTTACGAGTAAGATTTTTTCTTTCCTCCCAATTTAACTTCCAATACCAAACAAGTGAAGGTAAGCTCATTTTCTTTCCATCTTCTCATACCAAACAATATAAAAGAAAATCAATTTTCTTTCCATCATTGCTATTTTCCATCACTTTCATATTTCCTTTCTATCATATTTTCTTTCATTCCTACCAAACATAGCATAAGTGTCAAAATTTAATTAAAGAACAACTAATAAAATATGAAAACGAGACAACACATATTAATTCTTAAAAAGAGGAACTATGTACACATATACGTACGCTTAATAAAATATAAGATTAGTTTCATAAATACCTCAAAATTATATATTGGGTGCGTTTGGAATTGATTCCAAAACGTTTTTGTTTTCTGTACGAAAATGAAAATGAAAACGTTTTTAGTTTCATTTTTGAATTATTTCTGAAAATGCGTTTGATAGTTTTATTTAGAGATTGATTTCAGTTTTTAAAAAAACTGAAACTGCGTTTGGTGGTTTACTTTTTGAAAACATGTAATAATATATTAAATAATAATATATTAAATAAATAATATTATTAAATATATTAAATAAATAATAT